GCGGCTGGCGGCCCGCGATGGGCAGTCTATCAACAACTGGGGCAGCCTCGCCCACCCCGGCCAAGAGAAGGCCCGCTGGAGAGGCCTGTGGAGGTTGGGGCCTCGTGGGCGACGGCACCATCTGGAGGCCAATCCCTCCTCGCCCCGAGCTCGGAAGGGGAGGGGGCGGGGGGGCTGCTGCCACCGAAAACGGAACCGGGGCCGGCACGAAGATGAGTTGGCCCGACGGGGCCATTTGCCAGAAGCCCTGCGGGGCCGTAGACCTGGCTCAAGTCCCCTCCGGGACCGATGGGAGCGCCTCCGGCGCCTCGAGGGGAGTGACGAGGAGGAGGAGGAGGATGAAGTCGAAGAAGAGGAGGAGGTTGACCTGGAGCGTCTGTCGCTTCTCGGCGAGGCTCGGTACCGGCGGCGTCGGGAGCCCCTACTCCTCCACGATGGAGATCTAGAGCGCCTGGGGCGCTTACTGGGGCAACGGGATCCCCGGCCCTCTCGCTGCTGGTTATAATAACTCCTTTATGCTATTTGGTTTGGGGGCAAAGGAATCCCACCTCCGCCACACCAATTATAATAACCAGGCAGATGGCAATGCGATCAATCCCACCATCTACCCCTAATCATAAAGGCAGTCTTTATGGCCAAACAATATAACTGGACAGGGGGCAAACAGATCCCAAACACTGTCCCTCCTTTGATAAGGAATTCACACCACTTTGGCACTTATAGCATTTGAGGGGATGTCTCCTTATTAAAACCTTCGCTGCCACCATAAACCAAATAATCAGGAACCCTCTAGCTAATTAGAATGTTAAAAGGCTTTTTATTCCACCAAGTACTGTGTATTAACAAGGGCTTCTTTGAGGGGGACCAGGAGAGGTTGATTCAAAAATGAAAGGGACTCAAATCACAAATAGAACTTGACTCAGGCTTAAATTTTAAAAATAACAAGAAAGGTTTATTGAATACAAGTTACAGAATAAAAGTGAATGCAGGTTCAAAAGCTTGGCTGTTACAATCAAAGTGCTCTTGGTTCTTAGTAGCGTAACGGTTGCTTTGAGAGAATGGTTCTATTCTTTGTTACAATTCCTAAACAAAACCCAGCTATTTCTCCTCTAAAATAGCTGAAACCAGTCTGCCACAGCCTACTTTGCTGTGCAAACTACAGGCAAGCTGCCTATTTCCTAACAGAGACTCCTAAAACTCTAATCCTACTCTAACATCACCCAGAACTGAACTGCCCTGTCAAAATAAGCTTCTCTCCTTTTCCCTCCAACTGTCCAACTCCGCCCCCCTTTTCCAAACCAATCCTGGCTGTTGCTGGGCTGGCTCAGGCCTCGGCCACTCCCCCTCTCTGAACTGGAGTTTCCCTAAACTAAGATGGCTCCTGCAGCTCTCTGCCAGGCCTTCTAAGCTGAAACTACCTAGCCTGTCTCTTCCTAGGCCCTGCCACCCCCAGCTGGCAAGGTAAGGGATCTTCACACTGGTCACCCAATGCAGCTGCTGCCGAGGGCCCGGCCGGACCCGGCATGCCCGCTGAATAATCAGCTGGTTCCTCTCCCGGGGCCCGAGGAAGCTCCGGGATCGCCGGCCTCGGGGAGGACACTGTCAAACTCGCATCGACAGCGAGAGTGGGCGGGCCGTTGAAGATCCCCCCCAAATGCGCCACTTCCAGAAGGGATAGACTCCATGGGAGGAGTTATGGGCGGAGCTACGGAGGGCGGCCTTTCTTGTCTCAGCGCCGCCTCCCGTCCTCCCTCGGGCCCGGGGGGAGACAGTATCGGCATCGCCGGAGTCAACAAGGTCTCTGGAGGCAAGCTCTCCGGTCTCGAGAAGGAGGCCCTGACGGGAGTAGCATCCGCCATCTCCAGGCACAAGGTAGGTGCTGCCAAAGGCCGATCTGGTTGTTCTTGTTGCTCCGCCATTACAGGGGGCGGAGCTGGGGCGGCCGAAGAAGAAGAGGCGCTTCCCGCCTTTTTCGAAGCCGCTCTTTTTCCCATCGTTGGACCGCGGCCATCTTGAGAGGCCTTATCTTTCGGCCTTTTAGCCTTCTTTTTGGCCAAATCTCCAGCCCTTTCCAGGAACGGCAAGGTATTTATCACTGAGGGTGTCTGCTGCGCCGATGGCGTAGGCGGGAGCAGGGCCCTCTCGTAGAGGGCGGCTTTGAGCCTAAGCTCGCGGCTTTTTCTAGTTTGTGGCGTGAAGGCCATGCAGATCGAACAAGCCTGAGTGAGGTGCCCCTCTCCAAGGCAGGCCAAGCACATTGAGTGCCCGTCCGTGTTCGGATACAAGTTGGGGCAGCTGGAGCACCGTTTAAACGAGGTAGTCGCCATAGTCTAGTAGTACCAAGCAGGCGAAGCCTCGAGAGGGAGCCAAGTCAAACAGTCCGGGTCAATCGATGGCAAACGGGGTCCAAATCACAATCCAATATCTTAGTCAAACCAGTCCAGATCAAAGTCCAATAAAACAAGAGAGAAGCTCGCACGGAGAAAGAAGGTTCTCAAGCTGCCAACAGGAGTGCGGAAAAGAGAACTGCTGGCTAGCCCCGCCCACGGGCTACTTATACTCGGGGAGAGGGTGGGCGGGCCTAGCTGGGGTCGAAATTGTTATTTTACTTTCTAGAAGGTTCCGAAAGCTGTTCCACGCATGCGTGTAAATACCAAATGTACGATTCACAGTGACTACGACAGGAAAGCGAGCGTACGCTCACAGTTGAATTCTGCCAACTGCGAGAGTACACTTGCATTGCTTCCCTAGCAAGAGAAAACAGGCACACTAGCAAGAGAGAGCTGCCTGGGGGGAAAAAAGGCGGGGCTTCGGAGCAAGCTCGAGCACAAGCTCGCTCTCACTTCCAGTAGTTTGCTACGGCTCTAAGAATCATAGAATCAGAGTTGGAAGAGACCTTCTGGGCCATCCAATCCAACCCCATTCCGCCAAGAAGCAGGAATATTGCACTCAAATCACCCCTGGCAGATGGCCATCCAGCCTCTGTTTAAAAGCCTCTCCAGGGCAGAGTTCCACTGCTGAACGGCTCTCAGAGTCAGGAAGTTCTTCCTCATGTTCAGATGGAATCTCCTCTTGTAGTGTGAAGCCATTGTTCCATTGCATCCTATTCTCCAGGGAAGCAGAAAACAAGCTTGTGCCCTCCTCCTCCCTGTAGATTCCTCTCACATATTTATACATGGCTCTCATATTTCCTCTCAGCCTTCTCTTCAGGCTAAACATGCCCAGCTCCTTAAGCCACTCCTCATAGGGCTTGTTCTCCAGACCCTTGATCATTTGAGTCGCCCTCCTCTGGACACATTCCAGCTTAGAGTCAATATCTCTCTTGAATTGTGGTGCCCAGAATTGGACACAATATTCCAGGTAAAGTGGTCTAACCAAAGCAGAATAGAGGGGTAGCATGACTTCCTTAGATCTAGACACTATGCTCCTCTTGATGCAGGCCAAAATCCCATTGGCTTTTTTTGCCGCCACATCACATTCCTGGCTCATGTTTAACTTGTTGTCCACGAGGACTCCAAGATCTTTTTCACACGTACTGCTCCCAAGCCAGGCATCCCCCGTTCTGTATCTTTGCATTTCGTTTTTCCTGCCTAAGTGGAGTCTCTTGCATTTGTCCCTGTTGAACTTCATTGTGTTAGTTTTGGCCCATCATCTTTCTAATCTGTCAAGATCATTTTGAATCCTGCTCCTGTCCTCTGGAGTATTGGCTATCCCTCCCAATTTGGTGTCGTCTGCAAACTTGATGATCCTGCCTTCTCGCCCTTCATCTAAGTCATGAATAAAGTTCCTGAGCAGGACCGGGCCCAGGACAGAACCCTGCTTGTGGCACTCCACTCGTCACTTCTTTCCAGGATGAAGAGGAAGCCTTGGGGAGAATCACCCTCTGGGTTCGTCCATTTAACCAATTACAGATCCACCTCACCGTAGTTTTGCCTCGCCCACATTGGACTAGTTTCCTTGCCAGAAGGTCATGGGGGACCTTGTCAAAGAAGGCCTTCCTGAAATCCAGGTATGCTATATATATATTAATTATAATATTATTAGTAACATTGCATTTAATATAAAATATATAATTATAATATCATATTAGTAGTATATTGTATTACATTTATCAATATTATATGTATATACAATATATTATATATTATAAGCACAGTGCAGGAAACAAGATTGAACTGGGTTGTTGTAGGTTTTTTCAGGCTATATGGCCATGTTCTAGAGGCATTTTCTCCTGACCTTTCGCCTGCATCTATGGCAAGCATCCTCAGAGGTAGTGAGGTCTATTTGAATTAGGAAAATGGGTTTATATATCTGTGGAATGACCAGGGTGGGACAAAGAACTCTTGTCTGTTGGAGCCAGGTGTGAATGTTTCAACTGGTCACCTTGATTAGCATTTGATGGCCTGCCAGCACCTTTCTTCAGAAAGGCCGTGCTTTGCCCAGTTTGCAAAACCAGTATGCAAAAGTGCAGATATGCAGAGGGGCTCACTAAATCTGCAACCGCCCCCCTCCAGTTCTCACAACCACCATGTCAGACTACACAGAGAAGCCATGGAAATCCACAAACATGTGGACAATTTCAGCAGAAAGGAGGAAACCATGAAAATGAACAAAATCTGGCTACCAGTATTAAAAAAAATTCAAAAATTACAACAGCACAACAACAGAGAGGAAACAAACAAGGACATCTAATCACCTCTCAAGAAAAGTTTGCTCCAGGCACTGCCAGGCCATCAAATGTTAAGGTGGTCAGTTGAAACATTCACACCTAGCTCCAGCAGACAAGAGTCCTTTGTCCCACGCTGGTCATTCCACAGATATATAAACCCAATTTTCCTAGTTCCAACAGACCTCACTACCTCTGAGGATGCTTGCCATAGATGCAGGCAAAACGTCAGGAGAGAATGCCTCTAGACCATGGCCATACAGCCCGAAAAAACCTACAACAACCCAATACAATTAATATAACTCACAGGTAGACAACAAACACAACCTATGGCTGAGATACAGAAAACTTTATTGAAGGCTAAGGAATGAACTAGATGATATAAAAAGGAGAAGGAGGGGGGGAGGAAGCGCTCGAAAGTGTGGGAAGCCCTCCCCTCCCTGAAGGGAGGTGCCACTCAGACAAAGGTGAGGCGGGTCTTCTTCTGGTTCACTTGCCAGACGTTGAGCTCCTCGTACTCGTCCAGCGCGTCCTGGAACTGGGCGGGAGTGAAGCCCTTGGACAGGCAGCGCTGCTCCGCTTCGGCCAGGGAGAGGGAGCGGGCCCCTCCGGATGCGGTCATTTCTCGGATGGCCGCAAAGATCAGCTCTGCGGGGCGCTGGGTCCTGCAAGAAGGGTTGTGGTCAGCATGGACAGGGATGTATGGGGTTTGGGGGGAGGTAAGAGCCTGTGGACTGGTCTCCTTGACCCGCTGCTCACCTGCTCTGCTGTCCCTTGTCAGCCAAAAGGGAGTCCTTGGACATCTCCATCAGGCGCATGGCCTCGTTCACGTCTTCCTTCTCCACAGCGTCCACGCGTCTCAGCCGGGCCTTGGAGGGGAGAGAGAAGGGCGGTCATGAGCAAGAAGGGCAGCGCCTATTAGCATTAGCGGAAGTCTTGCACAGGCTTAGAAGAAAACATGGACTCTGGAGACGTCTGGTTGGAAAGCAGGTTCCATTTACTTAGAGCAGTTCCAAAACACATATGTAGTGAAATTGCTACTCTATGTTAAAGTTTTGGTGTATAGCTCTATGTTTACATATGGCAGACAGGAAAGAATAGGCACAGAGAGGGTAGCAACAGCAGAGATAGGATTCATTTGCATAGGTGAAGCCGACTAGTCATATGCAGATTAGCGTAGGCCCAGGATTTGAAAAGGCTGCGAGGCCAAAATGACAGTTGGGGAGAGCAGAGCTGTACATTCCAAAGGGGCGGAGCCAAGGTTTTGAAAGAGGCGGTTAGAGAGAGAGAGTTTGAAAATGACAGGAATCTGTGTGTGAAAAGGATTGTTGGTTTTCAGTACCTGTGAAAAATAAGCAGTTAAGAAGATGTGTTAGTAACTTCTGATATAGAGAAGTAGTTAGTTAAATAGAGCTCGAGTTTTAAGGAACATAAAGAAGGCCAGTGTTGCCTTAGTCAGAATATAGTTCAGCCAAAAGTGTGTAAAGCAAGTAACATGTTTGTGAATGTGAAACATTGAAAGTTTATTCAGAAAAGTAAAGCAAGTAAATGATACTGACTGTAAGCCTCAGGATTACAACAAAACACAAATGTAACCACAAGCGTTGGAGCCAGAAGTTATAAATAAACTGTTACTTCGTTATACACAAGAGTGTCTCATTGCCTGTGATATAAAGCACAAAGGTTTAACAGCACACAGAAAGTCCCAGCCAGTATAAAAGAAGAAACCGAATCAGTATAAGGCAGCAAAGAGGTTTTTAATAAGGAAATAGCCTCTCTCCCTCGCCTCAACATCCATTACAGTAAGCGACCAGACATGAAGTACACAGTACACAGGACAAAGGAAGTAGAAGCGTAAACAATTCTGCAGCTGCTAGGCAGATAGCAGACCCTCCCTAATTTTCTCACAACTCTGCACAGAAAGTATCTCAGGGCTACTTTCTCACAGCTTCTAACATAAACATACATCGCAGCAATACAATCTTATGGCATCCATATTTCTACTGCATGAAATTACATTTAAAACACACTATATACTTCAACATATACAGACAGCGTCTCTCCTGGATGCACAACGGTTTCCACAGCCTTTCCAAAATCAGCTCAAGCCCTTTTCCCCAAAGGCAGGAATAGCTTTACATGTGGTCTAATTAGTGAACAGGATTCAGAGTTCTTGGACGAAGGCTCTGGGAAACCTGACAGTCAACCCTGGAAAGCCTCTGCAAATTTATATTGAACTAGCCGCCCCCTGCCACATGTTGCTGTGGCCCAGTATATGTGTTTTGTACATGTATATATGTGTTTATGTGTGTGTATATATTTGTGTATATATGTGCGTTTGCGCATATATATGTGTGTGTGCATATATTTGTGTATTTGTGTTTATGTGTGTATATTTGTGTATATGTGTGTTTGCGCATATATATATGTGTGTGTGTATATTTGTGTATATGTATGTTTATATTTGTGTATATACTCATATATATGTGTGTGTATATTTGTGTATTTGTGTTTATGTGTGTGTATATTTGTATATATGTGCATTTGCGCATATATATGTGTAGTGTGTGTATATCTGTGTTTGCACATATATGTGTGTGTGTATTTGTGTTTATGTGTGTGTATATTTCTGTATATATGTGCATTTGCGCATATATATATATGTGTGTGTATATTTGTGTATTTGTGTTTATGTGTGTGTATATATGTGTGTTTGCGCATATATATGTGTGTGTATATTTGTGTATATATGTGCATTTGCACATATATGTGTGTGTATATTTGTGTTTGCACATATATATGTGTGTGAGTATATATTTGTGTATTTGTGTGCATTTGCGCATATATATGTGTAGTGTGTGTATATCTGTGTTTGCACATATATGTGTGTGTGTATTTGTGTTTATGTGTGTGTATATTTCTGTATATATGTGCATTTGCGCATATATATATATGTGTGTGTATATTTGTGTATTTGTGTTTATGTGTGTGTATATATGTGTGTTTGCGCATATATATGTGTGTGTATATTTGTGTTTATGTGTGTGTATATTTCTGTATATATGTGCATTTGCGCATATATGTGTGTGTATATTTGTGTTTGCACATATATATGTGTGTGAGTATATATTTGTGTATTTGTGTGCATTTGCGCATATATATATGTGTGTGTATATTTGTGTGCTTATGTGTGTGTATATTTGTGTATATATATATGTGTCTATATATTTGTGTATTTGTGTTTATGTGTGTGTATATATGTGTGTTTGCGCATATATATGTGTGTGTATATTTGTGTTTATGTGTGTGTATATTTCTGTATATATGTGCATTTGCGCATATATGTGTGTATATATTTGTGTTTGCACATATATATGTGTGTGAGTATATATTTGTGTATTTGTGTGCATTTGCGCATATATATATGTGTGTGTATATTTGTGTGCTTATGTGTGTGTATATTTGTGTATATATATGTGTGTCTGTATATATTTGTGTATTTGTGTTTATGTGTACCGTATATTCCGGCATATAAGACGACTGGGCGTATAAGACGACCCCCAACTTTTCCAGTTAAAATATAGAGTTAAGACGACTCCCATGCATAAGACTACACCCGCGTATAAGACGACCCCTGACTTTTGAGAAGATTTTCTTGGGTTAAAAAGTAGTCTTATACGCCAGAATATACTGTATATATTTGTGTATACACGTGCATTTGCGCATATACATGTATGTGTATATATCTGTGTATTTGTGTTTATGTGTGTGTATATATGTGTGTTTGCACATATATATATATGTGTGTGTATATATTTGTTTATTTATATGTGTACATGCATATTGTATACATGTGTGTGCTTGCCTATATGCGTATTTGTGTGTATACATGTGTGTATGTATATATGTATGGCATGTGTATATGTATATATGTATGTGAAAATGTGTATATGTATATGTGTATATTTGTGTGTGCATGCGTTCTTTATTTATACCCCACCACCATCTCCTCAAAGGGTACTCGGCTTAGGTGAGGCCAAGCCCGGAAGTGCAATTACAATAACATAACAACAAAATAACACAAAAGCATGAAATAAACATTGCAAAAAGATAAATAAAGCAAAATAATAATAAAAGAAAAAATGCAAAATAATACAGAGAAAAATCGAACACGATGATAATGAGCGGGCCACATGTACAGGGAAGGATAAAATTCAGGATGAGATAGAAATGCAAGAGGGTGGCCCAACACAACCCAAAGGCCGTAGTCTTGCTCACCAGGGCAGTGGCCAGGCGCAGGATGCCCAGCAGGGTCCGGGCCGAGGTGTAGGCGGTGTCCTTGTTGGCCCAGGCCTCCTTGCGCATCTCCACGTAGGCGGCCGTGATGTAGTCGGCCAGGGACTCCGGAACCGTGGGCTGCTTACGCTTGCACGTCGCAATGTAGCGCCTGCCGGGGAGGCAAACAGATCAACACAATTGCACAGCAGAGTAATTAATCAGCAGCAGCATAACATGGCACCAGAAGCCCAAAGTGATCAAAACAACAAAAACAAAAACCACGGACCAATATTATCTCTTCCATTTACGTTATAGCAAAATAATACGGTTGAACTATTTACAACACATAACACAAATAAACAAATACATAGTAGCTTGACACGCAGCAGCCTTCACACTGAAGCTTTCTCACACAAGGCTTCTCTCACACAGAGGTTTATCTCACACTCCTCAGGACAACACTAGATTTGGTTCACTGAGTCCAACAGGCTTCTTCCTACTCGCTCTCCTCATAACGACACTAGCTTTGACTCACTAATTCTAATAGGCTTCGACCTACTCACTCTCCTCAGGATGGCACTAGCTTTGGCTCACTGACTCCAACAGGTTTCGGCCTACTCACTCTTCTCAGGACAACACTAGCTTTGGCTCACCGACTCTAACAGGTTTCGGCCTACTCTTCTCAGAACAACATTAGCTTTGGCTCACTGACTCTAGCATGCTTGGGCCTACTCACTCTCCTCAGGACGACACTAACTTTGACCCACTGGTTCTAACAGGCTTCGGCCTACTCACTCTCCTCAGGACATTAGCTTTGGCTCACTGACTCCAACATGCTTCGGCCTACTCACTCTCCTCAGGACGACACTAGCTTTGGCTCACTCTTAACAGTTTTCGGCCTACTCACTCTCCTCAGTACGACATTAGCTTTGGCTCACTGACTCTAACAGGCTTCGGCCTACTCACTCTCCCCAGGACGACACTAGCTTTGGCTCACTGACTCTAACAGGCTTTGGCCTACTCACTCTCCTCAGGACGACACTAGCTTTGGCCCACTGACTCTAACAGGCTTCGGCCTACTCACTCTCCTCAGGACGACACTAGCTTTGGCCCACTGACTAACGGGCTTTGGCCTACTCACTCTCCTCAGGACGACACTAACTTTGACCCACTGGTTCTAACAGGCTTCGGCCTACTCACTCTCCTCAGGACGACATTAGCTTTGGCTCACTGACTCTAACAGGCTTCGGCCTACTCACTCTCCTCAGGACGACACTAGCTTTGGCTCACTCTTAACAGTTTTCGGCCTACTCACTCTCCTCAGAACGACATTAGCTTCGGCTCAACTCTAACAGGCTTCAGTCTACTCACACTCCTCAGGACTACACTACCTTTGGCTCATTAACTCTAACAGGCTTCGGCCTACTCACTCTCTGAAGGACGACACAAGCTTTGGCTCACTGACTCTAACCGTCTTTGGCCTACTCACTCTCCTCAGGACGACACCAGCTTTGGCTCACTGAACCTAACAGGCTTCGGCCTACTCACTCTCCTCAGGACGACACTAGCTTTGGCTCACTGACTCCAACAGGCTTTGGCCTACTCACTCTCCTCAGGACGACACTAGCTTTGGCTCACTGACTAACCGTCTCTGGCCTATTCACTCTCCTCAGAATGACACTAACTTTGACCCACTGTTTCTAACACGCTTCGGCCTACTCACTCTCCTCAGGACGACATTAGCTTTGGTTCACTGACTAACAGGCTTCTGCCCACTCACTCTCCCCAGGATGACACTAGCTGTGGCTCATTCACTCTAACAGGCTTCGGCCTACTCACCCTCCTCAGGACGACACTAACTTTGGCTCATCAACTCTAACAGGCTTCGGCCTACTCGCTCTCCTCAGAACGACACTAGCTTTGGCTCGCTGATCCTAACAGGCTTCGGCCTACTCACTCTCCTCAGGACGACACTAGCTCATAAACAGGCTTCGGCCTACTCACTCTCCTCAGGATGACACTAGCTTTGGCTCACTGACTCCAACAGGCTTCGGCCTACTCACTCTAACAGGTTTCGGTCTACTCACTCTCCTCAGGACGAAACTAGCTTTGGCTCACTGACTCCAACAGGCTTCAGCCTACTCACACTCCTCAGGATGACACTAGCTTTGGCTCACTGACTCTAACAGGCTTCGGCCTACTCACTCTCAGTGCTTGACTCACACTTTTGTAATCAAAATTACCCCGTTAATGTTCAATATTTCTGACAAGAGAATTATGTGGACCCCTTCCTACTCCTACTCCTCCTCACCTCATGAGGCCCATGTCCAGTGGCTGGAGCTGGGAGGGCGGCTGCCGGCTGTGCTGGTGGACGTAGGTGATGTGCTGGGCCAGGCTGAGGGAGAGAGAACACCAAAGGAAGGGTGGAAGAGTCCTTTAGGCAGAGATCCAGCAAGAGGACCTTCCTCCTCCTCCTCCTCCTCCACGGGACCACCTTCCTCCCCATTGCCCCCCCACGCTCTCACCGGAGGTCGTTGTCGCGGTCGGGGCGGTCCTGGATGAGCCAGAGGAGGTCGAAGCGGGAGAGCAGGGCGGCCGGGAGGCGGATGTTCTGCTCCAGGCTGCGCTGGGGGTTGTAGCGCCCGAAGGCCGGGTTGGCGGCCGCCAGGATGGCGCAGCGGGCGTTGAGGGTGGTCAGGATGCCGGCCTTGGCGATGGAGAGGGTCTGCTGCTCCATCACCTCGTGGATGGCCGTCCGGTCCGAGTCCAGCATCTTGTCGAACTCGTCGATGCAGCAGACGCCGCGGTCGGCCAGCACCAGCGCCCCGCCCTCCAGGGTCAGCTCCCCCGTCAGAGGGTCCCGCAGCACCGCCGCCGTCAGGCCCACCCCGGAGGAGCCACGCCCCGTCGTGTACTGGCCTGAAGGAGAAGGGAGGGGCGGGTGGCCGCCAATCAAGCAACTGACTAGGCGAGGAGACCCTGCTCTTGCTCTCTATGAGGGTTTCCAAGCCCTACTCCATTGCAAAGGGGGCAAGGGTCAAGGCACTGCTTCCACCGCTCCCAGACTCAGAGAGGGTCGCACCAGGAAGGCTCCAACTCCCATCATCCCCTACCATGGCTGAGTTTGAGAGGCTTTAATTGCACAATGTAATTGTAACACAATTTTTGGTCCTGGGTTATAAATGTCATTTCCTAATTGGTTCTATCACATCACCACAGGAGCAACTTGAGAAACTGCAAGTCGCTTCTGGTGTGAGAGAATTGGCCGTCTGCAAGGACGTTGCCCAGATGTTTTGATGTTTTACCATCATTGTGGGAGGCTTCCCTCGTGTCCCCGTATGGTGAGCTGGAGCTCATAGAGCAGTGTTTCTCAACCTGGGGGTCGGGACCCCTGGGGGGGGGGGTTGCAAGGGGGTTCCAGAGGGGTCACCAAAGACCAGTAGAAAAGACAGTGTTTTATGTTGGTCATGGGGGTCCTGTGTGCCAGGTTTGGTCCAATTCCATCATTGGTGGAGTTCAGAATGCTCTTTGATTGGAGGTAAACTATACATCCCAGCAACTACAACTCCCAAATGTCACGATATATTTTACCCAAACTTCACCAGTGTTCATATTAGGCATATGAGTATTCATGCCAAGTTTGGTCCAGATTCATCGTTGTTTGAGCCCACGGTGCTCTCTCGGATGTAGGTGAACTACAACTCCAAAACCAAAGGACACTGCCCACCAAACCCTTCCAGTATTTTCTGTTGGTCATGGGAGTTCTGTGTGCCAAGTTTGGTCCAATTCCATCATTGGTGGAGTTCAGAATGCTCTTTGACTGGAGGTAAACTATGCATCCCAGCAACTACAACTCCCAAATGTCAAGATTCTATTTTCCCCAAACTCCACCAGTGTTCACATTTGGGCATATTGAGTATTTGTGTAGAGTTTGGTCCAGATCCATCATTGTTTGCGGCAGCCACAAAAACTCAGAACAACTACTTTCAAAGTAAGGGCCGCACAATTAAACAGGAAATAACACTTTCAGACCAGGAACAGAACATTTTTCAAATTATGTTACACAGTGTGGTGCTGGATGGATGGCACTTGTGGCCTCTTCCAACCAACGCTACAATTCTCTGAGGAGGTACTCACTGCGTGGCGCCAGGCGGGTGATGTAGGAGAGCAGCTGGGACTTGGCCACGCCAGGGTCCCCCATGAGGCAGATGTTGATGTTCCCTGGACAAGGAAAGAGGGAGGAAGGAGGGGAAAGAGGGTGTTGTCATTCCTCAGCCCAAGGTGTGGTGACCCCCTCCCCAAACACAATATCATACGAAAGCTGACTGGCACAACCTGGGGATCACAACCAGACACAGTGAAGGCATCCGCCCTTGCGCTGTGCTACTCTGCTGCTGAGTACGCATGCCCAGTGTGGAACACATCTCACCACGCTAAAACAGTGGGTGTGGCTCTTAATGAGACATGCCGCATTATCACGGGGTGTCTGCGCCCTACACCACTGGAGAAATTACACTGCTTAGCCGGTATTGCACCACCTGACATCCGCCGGGAAGTGGCAGCCAATAGTGAAAGGACCAAGGCAGAGACATCTCCAGCTCATCCCTTGTTTGGGTATCAGCCAGCACGTCAACGACTTAAATCAAGAAATAGTTTTCTAAGATCTACAGAGACACTCGCTGGAACACCTCAGCAAGCGAGATCCAAAAGTGGCAGGCTCAAACCCAGAACCTCAACCAATGGCTGATAGCAAATGAGAGACTCCCCCCTGGGCACACAGAACTTGGAAGGCGCTGAACAGACTGCGCTCTGGCACCACGAGATGCAGAGCCAACCTCAAGAAATGGGGCCACAAAGCGGAATCCACGACATGCGAGTGTGGAGAAGAGCAAACCACTGACCACCTGCTGCAATGCAACCTGAGCCCTGCCACATGCACAATGGAGGACTTCTTGCAGCAACACCAGAAGCACTCCAAGTGGCCAGATACTGGTCAAAGGGCATTTAGTCAACTACCAAGCTTGCAAACTTTGAGTTTTTTTTATCTGTTTGTTTTGTTCTGTTAGAAATGTAATACAATGGTCTGGCTGCCCCTGACACGATAAATAAATAAATGTCTGCCCTCCGTGCCCTGCGCTCACCCCGGATCTTCATGCCGCGCGGGTTCTGGTCCACGCCGCCCACCAGAAGCAGCAGTAGCGCCTTCTTGACGTCTTCGTGGCCGTAGATCTCGGGGGCGATGGAGGCCGCCAGCTTATCATAGAAGTCCTCCTCTGCGGCAGAGCAAAACCGGTCACTCAATCCCAATCCAAAGCGAGGCACAAGGTGCCTCCAAAGTGGGGTAACAAGGGCAGAGGAAGGCCAGCTCCATATTATTATTATTATTACTAGCTGTCCCCTGCCACGTGTTGCTGTGGCCCAGTCTGGGTATATGTGTTTTGTGTTTGCATATATATCTGTGTGTATATATGTGTGTGCATATATATGTGTGTGTGTGTGTATCTGTGCATATGTGTATATTTTGTGTGTTTATATGTGTATATGCATATTGTGTATATGTATGTATATATTTGTATATGTGTGTGTTTGCATATATGTGTATATATGTGTGCATTTGTGTGTTTATATGTGTACATGCATATTGTGTATATGTATGTATATATTTGTATGTTTGCATATATGTATATGTGTGCATTTGTGTGTTTATATGTGTACATGCATATTGTGTATATGTATGTATATATCTGTTTGCATATATGTGTGCATTTGTGTGTTTACATGTGTACATGCATATTGTGTATATATGTGTGTGCATTTGTGTGTTTATATGTGTACATGCATATTGTGTATATGTATGTATATATCTGTTTGCATATATGTGTGCATTTGTGTGTTTACATGTGTACATGCATATTGTGTATATATGTGTGTGCATTTGTGTGTTTATATGTGTACATGCATATTGTGTATATGTATGTATATATCTGTTTGCATATATGTGTGCATTTGTGTGTTTACATGTATATATTTGAATATATATGTGTTTATAAATGTGTTTGTGTATATTTGTGTGTTTATATGTGTACATGCATATTGTGTATATGTATATATTTGTATATATGTGTTGGCATATATGTATGTGTGCGTGCATTTGTGTTTATGTGTACATGCATATTGTGTATATGTATGTATATATTTCTATATATATGTGTGTGTATATTTGTGTACATGCATATTGTGTATTGTGTTTGCATATATGTATATATGTGTGTGCATTTGTGTTTATATGTGTACATGCATATTGTGTATATGTATATATTTGAATATATATGTGTTGGCATATATGTATGTGTGCGTGCATTTGTGTTTATGTGTACATGCATATTGTGTATAAGTATGTATATATTTGTATATATATGTGTGTGTATATTTGTGTACATGCATATTGTGTATATGTATATATGTGTTTGCATATATGTATATATGTGTGTGCATTTGTGTTTATATGTGTACATGCATATTGTGTATATGTATATATTTGAATATATATGTGTGTGTATATTTGTGTGTTTATATGTGTACATGCATATTGTGTATATGTGTGTGCTTATTTATATGCATATTTGTGTATATATATATATGCAAGTGTATATGTATATATGTATGTGTATGTATGTGTGCATATGTGTGTATTTGTGCATATATATACATATATACATATATACACACATGTGTGTGTATGAATGCTTGCATGTCCATATGTATATGACTGTATGTGTGTATGTATATATGGTGTATGTTTTGAGTTTTTAAGTCTATTCCGCTGGGGGTTTGTGTGTGTGTGTTTATGGGTGATGGACACTCGTTGGACTGTTAGATGTGTTGTGTCCAAATTTCGTGTCAATTCGTCCAGTGGTTTTTGAGTTCTGTTAATCTCATAAATGAACATGACATTTTTATTTATATAGATTATCATCCCACATTCCTCAAAGCAACTCCAGACCAAGGCAGGAGGGGGGTCAAAGCTGAAACACACGCTGACCGCTGCTTTCTCCTTGACACACAGAGAGTCACCCCCAAAGAGCAGGGCCTTCCTAGGGCGGGGGGGAGGGGGGGTCCTCACCGGTGATCTGGCGCAGCTCCTCCTCGGAGAGCTCCCCTTCGCCCAGCTCCTCCTCCTCGCTCTTGCTCAGGCAGCCAATGTGGTGCGCCTCCAGGTAAGTGTCCGAGAGCAAGCCCTGCAGCGCAACGCCAATGACATTGATTTCTGTTTTCATATTTGTATATTTGTAGGTTTTAATGTACCCTATATACTCAAGCATAAGCCAAACCCAAATATAAGCCGAGGCACCTTATTTTAGCACACCAAAAATGGGAAAACGTATCGACTCGAGTCTAAGCCGAGGGTGGGAAATGCAGCAGCTACTGGTCAATTTCCAAATAAGAACAGACACCAATAAAATTACAATAAAATTACCTTAACTGAGGCATCAGTAGATTAAATATTTTTGAATATTTACATAAGATTGCAATTTAAGATAAGACTCCTTACTTACTACTTGCTTACTACTAAGACTCCAACTCTGATTGAATCATTATTCTAACCTTCTTCAAATGCAAATGTGCTTATGTATCCTTCCCACAATCATAAAGAGAGTAAGATAATGGAAATGCAATAATAACAATACAGTAAAATAAAAATGTAATAAAAATAATAGTAGAGTAAAATAATAAACGTAATGATAATAAATAAGAGTAAAATAATGGAAATGTAATAAAAATAATAGTAGAGTAAAATAATGGAAACGTAATAATAATGATAATAGAGTAAAATAATAGAAATGTAATAACAATAATAAAAAGAGTAAAATAAAATAAATGTAAACAAAATAATAATAGAGTAAAATAATGGAAATGTAATAAAAACAATAATAAATAGAGTAAAATAATAAACGTAATAATAAATAATAATGGAAATGTAATAATAAAGACTGCTCCAACTTCCGTACAGTGGCCCTTATTTCTCATGCCAGGAAGGTAATGCTCAAGATCCTGCAAGGAAGACTCCAGCAATACATGGAGCGAGAGTTGCCAGATGTTCAAGCTGGGTTTAGAAAAGGCAGAGGAACCAGAGACCAGATTGCCAATATCCGCTGGATAATGGAGAAAGGCAGGGAGTTTCAGGAAAACATCTACTTCTGCTTCATTGACTATTCTAAAGCCTTTGACTGTGTGGATCATAATAAATTGTGGCAAGTTCTTAGTGGGATGGGCATCCCAAGCCACCTTGTCTCTCTCCTGAGGAATCTGAACAAGGACCAAGTAGCAACAGTAAGAACTGACCATGGAACAACAGAGTGGTTCAAGATTGGGAAAGGCGTACGGCAAGGCTGCATCCTCTCACCCAACCTTTTTAACTTGTATGCAGAACACATCATGCAATGTGCGGGGCTGGATGAATGCAAAGCTGGGGTGAAAATTGCTGGAAGAAACATTAACAACCTTAGATATGCAGATGACACCACTTTGATGGCCAAAAGCGAGGAGGAGCTGAGGAGCCTTCTAATCAAGGTGAAAGAAGAAAGCGCAAAAGCTGGGTTGCAGCTAAATAAAAAAAACCAAGATTATGGCAACAAGAATGATTGACAACTGGAAAATAGAGGGAGAAAATGTGGAGGCCGTGACAGACTTTGTATTTCTAGGTGCAAAGATTACTGCAGATGCAGACTGTGGCCAGGAAATCAGAAGATGCTTACTTCTTGGGAGGAGAGCAATGACCAGTCTCGATAAAATAGTGAAGAGTAGAGACATCAGACTGGCAACAAAGATCCGCCTAGTCAAAGCCATGGTATTCCCTGTAGTAACCTACGGATGTGAGAGCTGGACCTTAGGGAAGGCTGAGCGAAGGAAGATTGATGCTTTTGAACTGTGGTGTTGGAGGAAAGTGCTGAGAGTGCCTTGGACTGAGAGGAGATCCAACCAGTCCATCCTCCAGGAAATAAAGCCCGACTGCTCACTGGAGGGAAGGAGACTAGAGGGAAAGCGGAAGTCCTTTGAATGCCACATCATGAGGAGACAGCAAAGCCTAGAGAAGACAATGATGCTGGGGAAAGTGGAAGGCAAAAGGAAGAGGGGCCGACCAAGGGCAAGATGGATGGATGGCATCCTTGAAGTGACTGGACTGACCTTGAGGGAGCTGGGGGTGGTAACGGCCGACAGGGAGCTCTGGCGTGGCTGGTCCATGAAGTCACGAAGAGTCGGAGACGACTGAACGAATGAACAACAAAATAAAAATGTAATAAAAATAATAGTAGAGTAAAATAATGGAAACGTAATAATAATGATAATAGAGTAAAATAATAGAAATGTAATAACAATAATAAAAAGAGTAAAATAAAATAAATGTAATCAAAATAATAATAGAGTAAAATAATGGAAATGTAATAAAAACAATAATAAATAGAGTAAAATAATAAACGTAATAATAAATAATAATGGAAATGTAATAATAATGATAACAGAGTAAAATAATGGAAATGTAATAATAACAATAATAAATAGAGTAAAATAATAAACGTAATAATAAATAATGAATGTAAATAAATAAAATAATAATATGTAAATAATAAATAAAAAGAGTAAAATAAAATAAATGTAATCAAAATAATAATAGAGTAAAATAATGGAAATGTAATAAAAATAATAATAGAGTAAAACAATGGAAATGTAATAAAAACGATAATAGATAATGCAATAAAAATAATGATAGTAAAATAATGGAAATGTAATAAAAATAATAATAGTTAAATAATGGAAATGTAATAAAAACAATACTAAATAGAGTAAAATAATAAACAGAATGATAATAGAGTAAAATAATGGAAATGTAATAACAATAATAACAGAGTAAAATAATGGAAATGTGATAGAAATAATAATACAGTAAAATAATGGAAATGTGATAAAAATAGAGTAAGATAATAAACATAATGATAATAGAGTAAAATAATAGAAATGTAATAATAATGATAATAAATAGAGTAAAATAATACATGTAATAATAGAGTAAAATAATGGAAATGTAATAATAATAATGTAATACAATAAATGTAATAAAAATAATAATAAATAGAATAAAGTAAAATAATGGAAATGGAATAACAGTGATAATAGAGTAAACTAATAAATACAGTAACAGTAAAGTAAAATAATAAATGTGATTTCAAAAATAGAGCAAAACATTGCAAATATAATCATAATAATAAATAGAGTAAAATAAGAAATGTAATAACAATAATAATGATAACAGAGTAAAATAATAAATAACCTTGACTCGAGTATAAGCAGAGGGGCTCTTTCAGCCTTTAAAAGGGGGCTGAAAAACTCGGCTTATACTCGAGTATATACGGTAAACCACTTTGAGGGTATAAATAAACATAATAATAATAATAACAACAGGCCAATTTCCCCACTCAACCCCCCCCCCCCACCTGCATGATCTGCCGGAAGCCGGTCTGCCGCACAGGCAGGAAGACGCCGGTGATGCTGACGTGGTCCCCGGGCTGCACCAGGCGCGTGTTCTCCCCCTGCGCACTGACCGTCAGGGAGCGGGGCAGGTTGCCCACCGGGACCTGGTCACTCTGTGGGGGAGAAAAGGAGAGGAGGGGGCCCAGGGTCAGAGGGCAGGAGGGGCGGTTGGAAGAGAAGGTCTTGCCAAAGACGGGCTTCCCCTTCAGCTTCCTGCGGCAAACGGCTGAGGCAGCGGCAGGAGAGACGTGCGCCATGGCTGATGTCGCATCATGCCCATTACAACACCTTTGCATCAGGAGAGAAGGCAAGTGGGATCGTACAATTGGAACGGCCAGCCAGTCCCAGCCCTTTCTGCCAAGAAGGGAGATACTCCGAGGACTCCCAACAGAGGCCCATCCAATCTGACAGAGATTACAGAATCACACGGGCCATCCAATCCAACCCCCTGCCATGCAAGAAACACACAATCAGCACTCCTGACAGATGGCCACCCAGCCTGTTTAAAAGCCTTCAAGGAAGGCGCTACCACCGCACTCTGAGGCAGAGAGTTCCACTGCTGACTAAATTGTTCTTCGTTGAGGACTTGAGACTTGGGCAGTGTGGGGTTGAATTCCAACAATGGCTTCCTTTGACATATGTATATTTATTTATTTATTTATTTATTTGGTGCATTTGTTGACCGCCGCTCTCAGCCCTAGGGCGACTCGCGGCGGTGTACAACATATAAAAACTGTTTACAATAGAACAACACAGAAAACAACATATCAATAATACACAATAATCTAAATTACACTAAATAATCCGCTCCGTTCCATCATCGAATCGTAACCAATCTCGTAATCCATTCCGTTCCAGTTGTCGTTACCAAATTAGTATACATTATCGTTACCAAATTAGTATACATTAGGCTTGGTTGGAAGGAAAATGGAAGAGGGGCCGACCAAGGGCAAGGTGGATGGATGGGAATTATAAATATAGTAAATAAATGAATAAATAATTGGCTATTTTAGTTGCAGCACCACATTGCTTACTCAGATGGTAAATGGAGAAAGATGACAATAAGCGGAAAGGGTCATTCAGGCCAACCTCATTCTGCCTTTCAGGAAGACCCCATCCAAGCTCCCTGACACCCCCTCCCCTTTTCCTCACCAGCTCCTGGATGCGGAGCTCCTGGTACTTGACGAACTTGGATCCGCGGCTCTGGAGGTAGAGGCGCCCCCCGGCCCGGTTGGTCTGGCACTCGCGGCTGGGGCACATCAGGAGCGGCGTGAAGGTGGGGGCCAGGATCTGGGGAGGGAGAAGGATCAGGCACGGAACGAGACAAGAGTAGATCTGGCCCTCCAAAAAGAATCAGGACCCTGCGCCCAGCCCCCTATTGCCAAGCCACCCAAAGCTCACCGGCTGGATCAACATAAAAAATATTAAAATTATATAAAATAATTATAAATATAAAATATAAAAGTGATCAATATAAAAAAACACTTTGAAGATGAATCCAAAAAGGCACCAGCAAAACAAAAACCCAAGAGAACATGACCAAGTCCTGAAAACATGAACACAAGGACTACAAGATAACCCATAAAAGCAAAGGCAAGCTTCTTGGTTAAACGTAAAGTTGCTTAGGCAAAGATTTGGTCCCAAACACACTGCTTAATACCCTTTGCAAAACATGTTTCTCTGGCCTCCTTCCTGTGAGCTATTCTCACACTCCTTCAAACTCCTCTGGCCTCCTTCCTGTGAGCTATTCTCACACTCCTTCGAACTCCTCTGGCCTCCTTCCTGTGAGCTATTCTCACACTCCTTCGAACTCCTCTGGCCTCCTTCCTGTGAGCTATTCTCACACTCCTTCCAACTCCTCTGGCCTCCTTCCTGTGAGCTATTCTCACATTCCTTCGAACTCCTCTGGCCTCCTTCCTGTTAGCTATTCTCACACTCCTTCAAACTCTGAATTCCAAATGGTCAACCCGATCTAAGGTTCCCATTTCATCAAAGTCAGTCTGTTCGTTAGTGTCCGCCTTTTTCCCTGCTTGCTCATTATCAGGCTGAGAACTGTCCTCCTTCTCTGAGTCAATCTGCACCTGGCTGTTTTCAGTATCAGCACTCTCATGCCTTGCTGTGGGAAACTGCACTTCTTCACTGTCTATAACAGGGACATTTTGGCTGTGAACCTGACTCCCATCATCCTCATCGGAGGCACTCTGTGGTTCCAGCTGAGTCACTCCCTGCCCTCAACCCCCTTTTGCCAGGCCGCCCAAAACTCACCGGCTGGTAGGTCTCGGCCCCGCAGCGGTCGCAGGAGTAGGTGGCCACCACCATCCGGGGCTTGACCTCCGAGGCGCGGGTCACGATGCCCCGGACAGTTACCAGCTTCCCAATGCAGTCGGCCTTCACCTCGCGGATCACGCGGGGCTTCATCCCGGAAGGAGCCTTGAAGTAGAGCTCGCTGTTGGGGGCACAGGGGGAGCGTGAGAGGGGCAAAAGGCGAGGCTGGATATTTTAGAGAAGTTATGATCTTTGGAAAGGCGTGACTGTAGTGAATTCCCTACTTGACAGTCTAGGAAAAGCCTAGAAAAGTAGGCCCTAGAAATTCGGCAGCCATTTTGGAAAGGGTGATGGGGGGGGGATCCATTTTAGTTACTCATTTCCTGAACGGGGTGTGTTTAGAAAGAGCAGCTTTGGAGGGAAATGAGGGAGGACTGTAATTGGCCAAGAGTGAGAGGAGCCTAACTTGGCAAAAGAAAAAAATGGACTCTTTAAAACCTTATGAGGGAGATTGACTGTGGGGGTCAAAGAAGAAAGAACTGGGTGTTAGGAGTGGTGAAGGGTTAGTGGGAGAGGTCTGAAATTGGTCTGTTGGCTAGCAAGGATAGCTAGTGGAGAGAATTCTACAGCTATTAGGGAAACAGCTGGTAGAGGAGGGAAGAGATCGATCCAGGTTAGGACTATCTGTACTGGAAGTTGAATTACTGTCAGAGAAGCAATCCTGTCAGTATTTCTGTGGAGGGAGGGAGAAGTCTTTCTGTGTAACTAAGTCTGAACTGCCTAAAGTAACCACACACTTTTTAAGTCAACACTCTGAAACAGCTAAGCTTTATACTTGAATTGTTCCAGTTCTCTTAAATAAACTTCATTGTTTTGTTGTTCATAACATCTGCCTCACGTGTGCCTCTGTGGGTGAAGATTTAAAAGCAGACTAATGGTGGCAGCGTATAATTTAAAGATCAATCATTAGGTTTACCTCAGAAATACAAGCCTGAGGTCTAATCTAACACACTCTTGCTTAAGTTACTTCCAGTGAGCCTAGGACTTTTCAGTGCTTTTAAGTTGGTGGGTGCCAGGGGGCTTTCAAAAAAGGTTTTTGGCAGAAGAAAGACTCAACTTTCCTCACAGCTTTTTGATTTTTGGGCTTTTAATCACAGAAGCCGCATTCCAAACCCAAGTGGTGTTCTGCTTTTGGGATTTTTATTTCCTAATAAAGCCTCGATCCCTTACATTTCTGGTGGAACAGCGTTTTGGGATTTTGTTTCCCGAAATTAAGCCTCTCTATCCTTTATAGTGACGTTGTTGGAAATCATAACCTTTTGGAAAATGGTATTCACGCAAGACAATTATGTTTCGCAGCTTTTACACTGATATACCTAGATATCTCTTTGAACTGTTAGGGACAAAGATATGCCAATGCACAAAAACATATACATAAATATATATGGCAGAATTTCAGAAGTGTTTTTTCCGTTGCCCAAAAGCATCTACTCCCAGAACACATTTTCGGGGTGCCTCCATGGCCGTCACTGCCTCGCCGTGGGGCCACGCCGCCCATCGTCCAGATATTGGAACATCTGTGTGGGTTCACCTTTTCGTGTTTCTACCGCCTCAACTGTTGCCTGCTGCTTCTGGCTGCCTATTCCACCAGCCCACTTTGGGTGGGATTAAATGTTTACTTTTAAGATGTCTTATTGCATTTTTATTGAATTGTTTATTTGATATGTCATCAGCCCACTTTGGTTGGGACTGAATCTTTACTTTTAAGCTTTTTATTGTATTTATATTTGAATTGTTCAATTGATATGTCATGTTTATTACTGTACGTTTAAATTGATATGCTAATTGTTTAAATTGATATACCATGTTTATTTTTATATGTGTAGTGCAGCATTGTATTTATACCCCGCCCTTCTCATTGGGGTGAGAAGGGCGGGGTATAAATGTAGTATAATTATTGTTATTATTATTATTGCATACTTTCAAACTGCTAGGTTTGCAGAAGCTGGGGCTAACAGTAGACTCACCGCTTTGAGTCGCCTGAGGGCTGAGAAAAGCAGTATATAAATAAAGTAAATAAATAAATAAGCTCACCCCGCTCCCTAGATTTGAACTGCTGAACTTTTGGTCAGTAAGTTCAGCAGCTCAGCCGTTTAATCCGCTGCACCACTGGGGGCTCCCCTATAAATACTCATAATAATAAACATAGTAATAAAGCCTCCTCCCCTGTGTTCCTCTTGAGAGGGGCGGGGCTTGTCCTCCTTGCCAGCCAATGGCGAGTCGCTTACCTACCCCTTCCCTCCTGACTCCTCCCCTTTCATGGGCGGGACTCACAATCTGCGCATGAGTTCTGCAGGGAAGTTGTTCTGCGGGGGGCGGGACTGCGCAGCCCCCCTTTCCCCGCCTCCTCCTCGGCGCCCTTCCAGCAGCAGCCGGTGCTCCAGGTAGACGTCCAGTGCATCCTTGTGCACAATCTACGCAGGGCGAAAACACAATATTATCAGCCTTTGATGTTTTCCTTTATCGGCTGTGGAACTCTCTCCTGATAGAGGTCAGATCTGCCCCCTCCCTCCTGACTTTCAGAAAAGATGGTAAAACCTTGGCTCTGGAACTTAGCATTCTCAGGTTGATGACAGAATCAATAACTGTTGACCCCAAGGCGGATGGTGGTGAATTTGTGATTTACCTTGACGAATTGGCTTTATGTAATTCTTGATCTGTATTTTAAGGTGTTTTTATGATGTTATTATGCTTTAGTTTATTTGTATATTGATTCTCTGTTGTTAGCCGGCCAAGTCCCTCCTCGGAGGTCAAGAAGACCGGGTTATAAAAGCTCTAAATAAATAAATAATAGTGTCCTACATTTCCCGGCACCCTCCCCGCTGTGCATCCGGACCTCTCTCTGCTGGACTATCATATTATATGTATAGATCTTCCGGAGAGTCCCTTCTCTCTATCCCTCCAGCTTCAGAAGTGCGGCTGGCGGGAACGAGAGATAGGGCCTTCTCTGTGGTGGCCCCCCGGCTTTGGAACACCCTCCCTATAGAGGTACGATCAGCCTCTTCGGATGGTGTTTAGGAAGAGACTCAAAACATGGCTGTTCAAACAAGCATTCGGCTAATCTGTGGCAACTCGAATCCTGATGACTAAGGACAGGAAACATGGACAACGAATTCTGGATTGTGATTTCAACTCGAGATATATGGGATTATTATTGGTGGCCCAATAATTTGTTATTGTATGTGTATATGTTTTTAAATTGGAGATTGTTTTTAATTGCTGTAAACCGCAATGAGTCGCCGATTTAGGCTGAGATATTAGCGGTATACAAGTATATCAAATAAATAAATAAATATATGCAATATATTATATTACAGAATGTATTATGTGTCTATGCAATATATTATATCATATTCAGAACATCATATTATATGTATATGCAATATATTATATTTCAGAATACCATATTATGTGTCTATGCAAAATTTTATATTACATTTCAGAATATCATATTATATGTCCATGCAAAATATTATATATTATAGTATATAATATTATGTGTCTGAAATATATTATATTATATTACAGAATATCACATTATATGTCTATGCAATATATTATATTTCAGAGGATCATATTATGTGTCTATGCAAAATATTATATTTCAGAATATCATATTATATTTCAGAATATCATATTATGTGTCTATGCAATATATTATATTATATTTCAGAATATCATATTATATGTATATGCAATATATTACATTATATTTCAGAATACCATATTTTGTGTCTATGCAAAGTATTATATTATATCTGTGGCAATTATATTATATTATATGCAAAGTATTATATTATATTATATCTGTGGCAATTCGAATATTGATGACTAAGGACAGGAAACATGGACAACGAATTCTGGATTGCGATTTCAACTCGAGATATATGGGATTATTATTGGTGGCCCAATAATTTGTTATTGAATTTGTTATTATATGTGTATATGTTTTTAAATTGTAGATTGTTTTAACTGCTGTAAACCGCAATGAGTCGCCGTTCTAGGCTGAGATATTAGCGGTATACAAGTGCATCAAATAAATAAATAAATAAATAAATATTATATGACAAGATCATGTTATATGTCTATGCACTATATTATATTATACTACAGAATATCATATTATCTCTATGCAATATAATATGATAGTCCAACGCTCGGCAGCCATGATTTTAACAGGAGCGGAGCGCAGGGAGCATACAACCCCCCTGTTGCGCCAACTCCACTGGCTACCGATCTGCTACCGGGCTGAATTCAAAGTGCTGGCGTTGGCCTTTAAAGCCCTAAACAGTTCCGGCCCAAGCTACCTATCTGACCGCATCTCTGCCTATGAACCCACCAGGACTTTGAGATCTTCCGGGGAGACCCTGCTCTCGATCCCGCCTGCTTCTCAAGCTCGGATGGCGGGGACGAGAGATAGGGCCTTCTCGGTGGTGGCTCCTCGGCTGTGGAACGCCCTTCCTACGGACATTAGACTAGCACCATCTCTAATGGTATTCCGCAAAAAGGTGAAGACCTGGATGTTTGTGCAGGCGTTTGAGTAATTTAGTGCAATCTGGTAATGGAATATAGGAATGGAACAATGGACGACGAACCTGGACTACGCTTGGATGATGAGAAGATTGGGTACGGTTGTTGTTTTTTGTAATAATTGTGCATTGTAATTGCTTATTGGTAATTTATGGATAATGTGTTAAGTCAATTGTTATATGTTGTATGGAACCACTGCTGTTTCTACTGTTTTTACTGTTTGTGAACCGCCGTGAGTCGCCTTCGGGCTTGAGATACAGCGGTATAGAAGCAAAGTAAATACATAAATAATAAATAAATAAATATTACAGAATATAATATATTATATGATTTCAGAATACCATATTATGTGACTATTCATTATATTATACTTCAGAATATCGTATATGTATATGCAGTATATTATATTACAGTATGTCACATTATGTCTATGCAATATATTATATTTCAGAATATCATATATGTCTATGCAAAACATTATAGTATATAATGTTGTTGTTCATTCGTTCAGTCGTCTCCGACTCTTCGTGACCTCATGGACCAGCCCACGCCAGAGCTCCCTGTCGGCCGTTACCACCCCCAGCTCGCTCAAGGTCAGTCCAGTCACTTCAAGGATGCCATCCATCCATCTTGCCCTTGGTCGGCCCCTCTTCCTTTTGCCTTCCACTTTCCCCAGCATCATTGTCTTCTCTAGGCTTTCCTGTCTCCTCATGATGTGGCCGAAGTACTTCAACTTTGTCTCTAGTATCTTTCCCTCCAGTGAGCAGTCGGGCTTTATTTCCTGGAGGATGGACTGGTTGGATCTTCTCGCAGTCCAAGGCACTCTCAGAACTTTCCTCCAGCACCACAGCTCAAAAGCATCTCTTCCTTCGCTCAGCCTTCCCTAAGGTCCAGCTCTCACATCCGTAGGTTGCTACAGGGAATACCATGGCTTTGACTAGGCGGATCTTTGTTGCCAGTCTGATGTCTCTACTCTTCACTATTTTATCGAGACTGGACATTGCTCTCCTCCCAAGAAGTAAGCGTCTTCTGATTTCCTGCCTACAGTCTGCATCTGCAGTAATCTTTGCACCTAGAAATACAAAGTCTGTCACGGCCTCCACATTTTCTCCCTCTATTTTCCAGTTGTCAATCATTCTTGTTGCCATAATCTTGGTTTTTTTTATGTTTAGCTGCAACCCGGCTTTTGCGCTTTCTTCTTTCACCTTGATTAGAAGGCTCCTCAGCTCCTCCTCGCTTTCGGCCATCAGAGTGGTGTCATCTGCATATCTGAGGTTGTTAATGTTTCTTCCAGCAATTTTCACCCCAGCTTTGCATTCATCCAGCCCCGCATCCTCGCATGATGTGTTCTGCATACAAGTTAAAAAGGTTGGGTGAGAGGATGCAGCCTTGCCGTACGCCTTTCCCAATCTTGAACCAGTCTGTTGTTCCGTGGTCAGTTCTGACTGTTGCTACTTGGTCCTTGTACAGATTCCTCAGGAGAGAGACAAGGTGGCTTGGGATGGCCATCCCACTAAGAACTTGCCACAATTTATTATGATCCACACAGTCAAAGGCTTTAGAATAGTCAATGAAGCAGAAGTAGATGTTTTTCTGAAACTCCCTGCCTTTCTCCATTCTCCAGCCTCCGGATATTGGCAATCTGGTCTCTCGTTCCTCTGCCTTTTCTAAACCCAGCTTGAACATCTGGCAACTCTCGCTCCATGTATTGCTGGAGTCTTCCTTGCAGGATCTTGAGCATTACCTTACTGGCATGATGAGAAATAAGGGCCACTGTACGGAAGTTTGAGCAGTCTTTCGCATTTCCCTTTTTTGGTATGGGGATATAAGTTGATTTTTTCCAGTCTGATGGCCATTCTTGTGTTTTCCATATTTGCTGGCAAATGGCATGCATATTATATTATATTATATGCATAGTATATAATATGTGTCTGCAATATATTATATTATAAAATATCATAATATATGTATATACAATATATATTATATTAGAATATATACAATATATTTTAATATTATATTATTAGCATAGCACAGAAGACAAGGTGGAGCTTTAGTGTCCTCCTCCCCCTCCTCCCTCAGAATTCTGGGAAATGTAGTTCCAGGCTGAGTTTTGTTTGGCTATTCCGGGCCTAAGAGAGAATGGCAAAAAGACTACATTTCCCGGCACCCCCTTCGGTTGTGCCGAGTGCTGACCTCTCTCTGCTTGTAGGCGGGCAGGAGCCGGGCGGCGGCGTCGGCGAAGAGGCGCTGGTAGCGGGGGGCGTTCTCGCAGGCTGATTCCGCCAAGGCCGGGTCCTCCTCGGCCACGTCGTCCAGGTCCACCCGCAGCGTGGAGGCCTCGCGGTGCGCCAGAAGGGTCTGGCCGCGAAGGGAGACGGGAGAGAGGGTTAGGAAGGGAGCCTCCGGGGAAGTCTCCCCGCCGCCCCGGGCACAGACTCACCAGCTGCTCCCGGTAGGGGAAGCGCTTCCCGGCCTGGTCCGAAGGGAGAGAAGAGGAAGAGCTGGAGAAGAATCCCTCCAGGAAGGACGCCGCCTTGTCTGATAGGAAAACAGGGAAAGAGAGCGTCAGCCAAAGGGAGAGAGAGAGAGGCCTTTCCTCCTCGTCCCCGCCGCCTCCTCGCTCCTCTCACCCATCTCGGCGTCGTAGTCCCCGCGTAGGCCCAGCTTCTCGCCGCCTTTTCCCGACGCCATCCTGCCTTCTCCTCTTCTGACTGCTTTTTCCCGCGCGCGGGAAAAGGAGGCGCTGCTCCGATTGGCCGGCTCGACCTGACTCAGCCAATCCCCGCCCTCCTTTCTGTCAATCCCCGCCTTTTCCTTGTTAGCCACGCCTGATTTTTTTTCCCGCGCTAGCCAAGATTGAGATAATCCGATTGGTCCGCGCGGTTCCATCTCACAGCCAATCCCTGCTCGGCTTTGCGCGAAAGGGAGGAGACTCTTCCACATCTCCCACACACGTGACGCAACACCTCGGAACCAATCCCAGCTCGTCTTTGGAAGGATAGGGCGGGGACTGGATTCAATAGGCCACGCCTCTATGTGAAGCAACGCCCCGCAGCCAATCCTTGCTTGGCTATGCAGAAAGGGGCGGAGACTTGCTCTTATACAGGCCACGCCTCTACGTGAAGCAACGCCCCGCAGCCAATCCCTGCTCGGCTATGCAAAGAAGGGCGGAGACTTATCCGTATGCAGGCCACGCCTCTATGTGACGCAAACCACTCAACCAATCCCAGTTCGTCTTTGAAGGGAAGGGCGGGGAAACTTTATGCAGGCCACGCCTTTACGCCCCGCAGCCAATCCCTGCTCGCGTTTGGAGACAAGGGCGGGGACTCGTCGTTCTCTAGGCCACGCCTCCAAGTGACGCACAACTCCGCAGCCAATCCCTGCTCGCGTTAGGAGAGAAGGGCGGGGACTCGTCACTCTCTAGGCCTCGCCTTTATGTGACACCCAACTCCGCAGCCAATCCCTGCTCGCGTTTGTAGGCAGGGGCGGGGACTTGCTATTATAGAGGCCACGCCTCTAGATGACGCAACACCTCGCAACCAATCCCCGCTCGCTTTTTCAGAGAAGGGCTGAAATTCCTTCTTGTATAGGCCACGCCTTTACGTGACGCAGCACCGCGCAGCCAATCCCTGCTCTCCTTTGCAGGCAGAGGCGTGGACTAGCTGTTATACAAACCACGCCTCTACGTGACGCAACACCTCGCAACCAATCACCGCTCGCCTTTGCAGAGAAGGGCGGAAACTCTTCCTTATACGGGCCACGCCTCTTCGTAACGCAGCATTCAACCAATCCCTTTTCCCCTTTACGCGGGAGGGAGGAGACTATCCCTCCTGCAGGCCACGCCTCTACGTGACGCAGCGCCTGTGAGCCAATCCCAGGCGGGAGGGGCGGGACCTCCCACAAGCCACGCCCCCTATTATTTTGCTTCTTACAGGAAGTAGGGCCAAAGAGAGTGCTCCGGGGCGTGTGCAGAGTGTTTCCTGGAGGGCCGAGGATGATCTCGGAGGTGTTCGTGCTCTCCTCGCAAGGGGACCGGCTCCTCTACAAGGACTGTATCCTTCCTGAGACAGAAGGGGAGGGACTTACTTACTCTTCACTCTTTCACCCTCCATTCATCGCTCTTCAAATTCTGCAGCACTGCTGGTCACAGCTGACCTCCAGCTGGAGCGCTCAAGGGCCAGGGCTTCCCAGTTCTGTGTCTATGCCAAAGATTTTAAGGTTGGCTTTGAGGCCATCTTTAAATCTCTTTTCCTGCCCGCCAATATTCCATTTTCCATTCTTAAGTTCGGAGTAGAGCAACTGCTTTGGGGGACGGTGGTCAGGCATCCGGACAATGTGACCAGCCCAGCGGTGTTAATGGCAGAGGACCATCGCTTCAATGCTGGTGGTCTTTGCTCCTTCTCCCATCATGCTGACGTTTGTCTGCTTGTCTTCCCAAGAGATTTGCAGGATTTTCCGGAGGCAGCGCTGATGGAATTGTTCCAGGAGTTGCATGTGACATCTGTAGACAGTCCACGTTTTGCAGGCATAGAGCAGCGTTGGGAGGGGAATAGCTCTATAAACAAGCACCTTGGTCTCCCTACAGATGTCCCAGTCCTCAAACACTCTCTGTTTCATTCGGGAAAATGCTGCACTCACAGAGCTCAGGCGGTGGTGCATTTCAGTCTCAATGTTGACGTCTGTAGACAGTCCACATCTCGCAGACGTATAGCAGGGTTGGGAGGACAATAGCTTTACAGACAAGCACCTTGGTCTCCCTACGGATGTCCCGGTCCTCAAACACTCTCTGCTTCATTTGGAAGAATGCTGCACTCACAGAGCTCAGGCGGTGTTGTATTTCAGTCTCAATGTTGACGTCTGTAGACAGTCCACGTCTCGCAGGCATATAGCAGGGTTGGGAGGACAATAGCTTTACAGACAAGCACCTTGGTATCCCTACGGATGTCTCAGTCCTCAAACACTCTCTGCTTCATTTGGAAGAATGCTGCACTCGCAGAGCTCAGGCGGTGTTGTATTTCGGTGTCGATGTTGACTTTGGTGGAGAGGTGGCTGCCAAGGTAGCGGAAATGGTCAACATTTTCTAATGTTACACCATTAAGCTGTATCTCTGGCATTGGGGAGGGGATGGCTGGTGACTGCTGGAACAGCACTTTGGTTTTCTCGATGTTCAGTGACAGGCCAAGCTTCGTGTATGCTTCTGCGAAGGTGTTTAGAGTGGCTTGTAGATCTTCTTCTGAAGGGGAGGGACAGAGGGGGAGGGACCTGGCCCCGTTGCCCTCCTTGACCCTCTGCGCCCAGTCCGCGGGGAGGGACACCCCGGCCTCGTGGAGGACTTCTTCCGGAAGGTGACGGCGCTGCCTCCTGACCAGGCCCCGGTCTTCATGGTGAGAAGGGGGTCAAGGCCAAGGGGGAAGCACCTGACGTCACTCACCCTCTGACATCACGCCCTTCTGACGTCACACCCTCCCTTTCTCCTGCAGGAGGCTTGCCCCCCGGGGCTCCACTTCGCGCATGTGCGTCACGGGGGGCTCTACTTCGTGGCCACCATCCCTTCCAAAGCTTCGCCTTTTGCAGCACTGGAGTTCCTCAACAGGTCAGTCGGGGGTGGGGCTAAGAGTGAGGCCACGCCCACTGCACAGCTAGGCCACACCCCCATAATGATAATGATAATATTGTATTGTCGAAGTTGAAACATTCACACCTAGCTCCAGCAGACAAGAGTCCTTTGTCCCATGGTCTAGAATGCCATATAGCCCGTAAATAACCTACAACAACCCAATAATAAACTTTATTTAATACCCTGCCACTATCTGGTTGGAGTAGTTTGCAGTGCCTTTCATGTTCCTGAGAACACAGAAATGCTGGACCACGCTCACAACCACCATGTCAGGCTACACAGAGAAGCCATTGAAATCCACAAGAAGCATGTGGACCATTTCAACAGAAAGGAGGAAACCATGAAAATGAACAAAATCTGGCTACCAGTATTAAAAATCTCTAAAATAACAACAGCAAAACATCAGAGAGGAAACAATCAGGCACATCAATTCACTCTCAACAAGAGATTCCCCCCGGGCACTTCAAAGCCATTGAATGCTAATCAAGGTGATCAGCTGAAACATTACCCTGGTCTTTCCACAGATATATAAACCCATTTTCCTAATTCCAAACAGACCTCACTACCTCTGAGGATGCTTGCCATAGATGCAGGCAAAACGTCAGGAGAGAATGCCTCTAGAACATGGCCATATAGCCAGAAAAAACCTACAACAACCCAATGATAATATTAATCAACTTTGTATTGTCGAAGGCTTTCATGGCCGGAATCACTGGGTTGTTGTACGTTTTTTTGGGCTCTATGGCCATGTTCTAGAGGCATTCTCTCCTGACGTTTCACCTGCATCTATGGCAAGCATCCTCAGAGGTAGTGAGGTCTGTTGGAACTAGGAAAAGGGTTTATATATCTGTGGAATGACCAGGGTGGGACAAAGGACTCTTGTCTGCTGGAGCTAGGTGTGAATGTTTCAGCTGACCACCTTGATTAGCATATAATGGCCTGACAGTGCCTGGAGCAAACTTTTGTTGAGAGGTGATTAGATGTCTTTGTTTGTTTTCTCTCTGTTTCTGTTGTTGTGCTGTTGTAATTGGACAATGTCAACGGAAAGGAGGAAACCATGAAAATGAACAAAATCTGGCTAGCAGTATTAAAAAAACTCCAAAATGTTGTTATTTATTTAAAATCAGTAAATAAAGAACAACACTCTAATTACCTCTCAACAAAAGTTTGCTCCAGGCACAGTCGGCCCATTGTATGCTAATCAAGGTGGTCAGTTGAAACATTCACACCTAGCTCCAGCAGACAAGAGTCCTTTGTCCACCCTGGTCATTCCACAGATATATAAACCCACTTTCCTAGTTCCAACAGACCTCATTCCCTCTGAGGATGCTTGCCATAGACGCAGGAGAGAATGCCTCTAGACCATGGCCATATAGCCCGAAAAAACCTACAACAACCCAATAATAAACTTTATTTAATACCCTGCCACCATCTCTGCTTACTTGAGGCCAAGCCCGACAGCATATGACAATAAAATAAAACCAAAACACAATAACAACACAGTAAAATACATACATATGCGTACCAAGAAAAACCCACAATAAAGCAAAATTATATACAATAAAATAACAATGAGCAAGGTAAAAACTAAAACACTAAAAATACTAAACTTGAGGGAGGCCAACTTGGGCCCTCCCTCCAGGCATTGTGGACTCCAACTCCTACCTTCCTAACACCTGGAAGGAGGGGCGAAGTTGGCCTGTGCCTGCCTAAAATCCTACATCAGGGCCCAGCTAACACCTCCCAACAAAGGATTCCCCCAGACAGGAAGTAGCCAGGCCTTGAAGCTGCAAGGCTACTCAATGCTAATCAAGGTGGCCAATAGCAACATTCACACTTACTTCCAACAGACGAGCTTTCTTTCTCCCACCCTGGACATCATTCCACAGAGATAGATAGATAGATAGATAGATAGATAGATAGATAGATAGATAGATAGATAGATAGATATTAGGGCTGGGCGGTTTCGTTCGTTAATTTCGTAATTCGTTATTGATTCGTATTTAAATTAGCTTACAATCAGATATTGAGCCATGCAGGAGCAACTAAAAATCGAAACGAATTTTTCAATTTATTTCGTAATTGTTTCGTAATTGGTTCGAAATCGTTTCGAAATTGTTTCGTAATTATTTCCGTATGTCTGGTGCAAGTTTTATAGTTGTTGTTAGTTTTATCACACCAACAGTCAACAACAGAGGGAGAGGGAAGCTTCAGAAGTTCCCCGTCCCATTTGGAGGTTTTTTTAGCGTATTGCGCAACGCGCCTGCCATTAACGAATCGATTCGTAATTGTTTCGTAATTTCCGAAATTTCGTAAATTTCGAACTTTTTTAAAGAAAAAATTCGGAATTCTTTTAAAAATCGAAACGCAAAACCCCCCTAAAAACGAATCGAGTTTAGAAACAAATTTTTCCATGGTTGCCCAGCCCTAATGGAAAGTTATATATATATATATATGTATTAGTATATATATATATATATATATATATATATATATATATATATATATATATATATAGGGGGGGAGAGCTCCCCCCAGGCAGGAAGCAGCCAGGCTTTGAAGCTGCAAGGCTATTCAGTGCTAATCAAGGCGGCATATAGCAACATTCACACTCGCCTCCAACAGACGAGAGTACTTTCTTTCTCCCACCCTGGACATATTCCACAGATAGATAGGATTCCCCTGGGCAGGAAGCAGCCAGGCCTTGAAGCTGCAATGCTATTTAGTGCTAATCAAGGTGGCCTATGGCAACATTCACACTTGCCTCCAGCAGACGAGCTTTCTTTCTCCCACCCTGGACATATTCCACAGATAGATAGATAGATAGATAGATAGGATTCCCCCGTGCAGGAAGCAGCCAGGGTTTGAAGCTGCAAGGCTATTCTGTGCTAATCAAGGTGGCCTATAGCAACATTCACACTCGCCTCCAACAGACGAGAGTTCTTTCTTTCTCCCACCCTGGACATCATTCCATATATAGATATAGGATCCCCTCAGGCAGGAAGCAGCCAGGCTTTGTAGGTGCAAGGCTATTCAATGCTAATGAGGGTGGCCAATAGCAACATTCACACTCGCCTCCAACAGACGAGAGTTCTTTCTTTCTCCCACCCTGGACATCATTCCATATATAGATATAGGATCCCCTCAGGCAGGAAGCAGCCAGGCTTTGTAGGTGCAAGGCTATTCAATGCTAATGAGGGTGGCCAATAGCAACATTCACACTCGCCTCCAACAGATGAGAGTTCTTTCTTTCTCCCACCCTGGACATCATTCCATAGATAGAGAGAGAGAGAGAGAGAGAGAGAGAGAGAGAGATATAGGATTGCCTTGGGCAGGAAGCAACCAGGCCTTGAAGCTGCATGGCTATTCAGTGTTGATCAAGGTAGCGAATAGCAACACCCTGGTGGCGCAGTGGGTTGAACCCCTGTGCTGGCAGGACTGAAGACCGACAGGTCGCAGGTTCGAATCCAGTGAGAGCGTGGATGAGCTCCCCCTGTCAGCTCCAGCTCCTCATGCGGGGACATGAGAGAAGCCTCCCACAAGGATGGTCAAACATCAAATCATCCAGGCATCCCCTGGGCAACGTCCTTGCAGACGGCCAATTCCCTCACACCAGAAGCGACTTGCAGTTTCTCAGCATGACCATGCTCAATTTTCCAACTTAAGGGAGAGAATGTTCAGGCTGTTAAGGAAGACGTCCAGAGGAGGCCACACCGCTTTCCCAGGCTCTTAGATCCATTGCCAAACTGTGCCTCCTGGGAGAGTGAGGCCCCGCCCATTGTCCCTAACTCCACCCCTTTTGTCTAGATTGGCGGCACTGCTTCGGGACTCCTGCGGGGCCCTGGACGAGAGGAGCGTCTCCCTCAACTTCGCCCTCCTCTACGAACTCTTGGATGAACTACTGGTATGTCACGGTGAAAATTTTATTTACTGTATTTGTATACCGCCTTCCTCCTCCTGAGGTGGCAGGCAGATATAATAAGCAACAGCCAGGAGACAGGTGTTTTCAAAGTCTCTTCCTCGGTCCCCTTCCTCGTCTTAGCTGTCTTGGGCGGGGGGAGAGTATTATTTATTTATTTATTTATTTACTCCTTTTGTATACCGCCTATATCAGCCAACAAGGCGACTCTAAGCGGTTTACAGTAAAAAAGTGCAACATTGAACAATGCATGTGACAGACATCCACAAACAATACACATAACGTCATCACGCCTCGAATAAAATCAGATCCAAATCTCATAGTCATTTTACCATTCCTTGTTCAGTATGCCGTCTTTCTGAGTCAGATGTTAATTGCATGCTTATCCGAACGCCTGTTCGAAGAGCCACGTCTTCACCCGCCTTCTAAACGCCAGTAGCGATGGGGCCTGTCTGATCTCCGTTGGTAGGGCATTCCATAGCCGAGGGGCCACCACCGAGAAGGCCCTGTCTCTCGTCCCCGCCAGCCGCACTTGTGATGCTGGCGGGACCGAGAGCAGGGCCTCCCCGGACGATCTTAGTGTCCTCGCCGGTTCATAGGCGGAGATGCGTTCGGAGAGGTAAGTGGGGCCGGAACCGTTTAGGGCTTTATAGGCTAAAGCCAGCACCTTGAATTGTGCTCGGTAGCAGATTGGCAGCCAGTGGAGCTGGCTCAACAGTGGAGTGGTGTGCTCCCTGAGCGCCGCTCCCGTTAGCAACCTGGCTGCCGAGCGCTGGACCATCTGAAGCTTCCGGGCAGTCTTCAAGGGCAACCCCACGTAGAGCGCGTTGCAGTAATCTATGCGGGATGTGACAAGAGCGTGGACTACCGTGGCCAAGTCCGACTTCCCAAGATACGGGCGCAGCTGGCGCACGAGCCGAAGCTGTGCAAATGCTCCTCTGGAGACCGCTGAAACTTGGGGTTCCAAGCTTAGCGAAGAATCCAGAGTCACACCCAAGCTGCGAACCTGTGTCTTCAGGGGGAGTGCGACCCCGTCCAACACAGGCTGTAACCCTATACCCTGTTCGGCCTTCCGACTGACCAGGAGTACCTCTGTCTTGTCTGGATTGAGTTTCAATTTGTTCACCCTCATCCAGTCCGACACAGCGGCAACAGCCAGGAGACAGGTATTTTTAAAGACTCTTTCTCAGTCCCCTTCCTCCTCTTAGCTGGCTTGGGAGGGGGAGAGTAGCAGCAGGATTTCCTCCTTCTCCTCCTGAGGTGGCAGGCAGATGTAGTAAGCAACAGCCAGGAGACAGGTGTTTTTAAAGTCTCTTCCTCAGTCCCCTTCCTCCTCTTAGCTGGCTTTGGGGGGGGGGGAGAGAAGCAGGATTTCCTCCTTCTCCTTCTGAGGTGGCAGGCAGATGTAGTAAGCAACAGCCAGGAGACAGGTGTTTTTAAAGTCTCTTCCTCAGTCCCCTTCCTCCTCTTAGCTGGCTTGGGAGTGGGAGAGTAGCAGCAGGATTTCCTCCTTCTCCTCCTGAGGTGGCAGGCAGATGTAGTAAGCAACAGCCAGGAGACAGGTGTTTTTAAAGACTCTTCCTCAGTCCCCTTCCTCCTCTTAGCTGGCTTGGGAGGGGGAGAGTAGCAACAGGATTTCCTCCTTCTCCTTCTGAGGTGGCAGGCAGATGTAGTAAGCAACAGCCAGGAGACAGGTGTTTTTAAAGACTCTTCCTCAGTCTCCTTCCTCCTCTTAGCTGGCTTGGGCAGGGGGAGAGTAGCAGCAGGATTTCCTTCTCATCCTGAGGTGGCAGGCAGATGTAGTAAGCAACAGCCAGGAGACAGGTATTTTTAAAGACTCTTCCTCAGTCCCCTTCCTCCTCTTAGCTGGTTTGGAGGTGGGGGAGGAGAAGCAGGATTTGCTCTTTCTCCTTCTGAGGTGGCAGGCAGATGTAGTAAGCAACAGCCAGGAGACAGGTGTTTTTTAAGTCTCTTCCTCAGTCCCCTTCCTCCTCTTAGCTGGCTTGGGCAGGGGGAGAGTAGCAGCAGGATTTCCTCCTTCTCCTTCTGAGGTGGCAGGCAGATGTAGTAACCAACAGCCAGGAGACAGGTTGTTTTAGTCTCTTCCTCAGATGTATTAAGCAACAGCCAGGAGACAGGTGTTTTTAAAGTCTCTTCCTCAGTCCCCTTCCTCCTCTTAGCTGGCTTGGGCGGGGGGAGAGTAGCAGCAGGATTTCCTCCTTCTCCTCCTGAGGTGGCAGGCAGATGTAGTAAGCAACAGCCAGGAGACAGGTGTTTTTAAAGACTCTTCCTCAGTCCCCTTCCTCCTCTTAGCTGTCTTAGGAGGGGGAGAATAGCAGTAGGATTTCATCCTTCTCCTCCTGAGGTGGCAGGCAGATGTAGTAAGTAGTAAGCAACAGCCAGGAGACAGGTGTTTTTAAAGTCTCTTCCTCAGTCCCCTTCCTCCTCTTAGCTGGCTTGGGGGAAGAAGAGAGTAGCAGCAGGATTTCCTCCTTCTCCTGCTGAGGTAGCACATAGATATAGTAAGCAACAGCCAGGAGACAGGTGTTTTTAAAGACTCTTCCTCAGTCCCCTTCCTCCTCTTAGCTGGCTTGGGAGGGGGAGAGTAGCAACAGGATTTCCTCCTTCTCCTTCTGAGGTGGCAGGCAGATGTAGTAAGCAACAGCCAGGAGACAGGTGTTTTTAAAGACTCTTCCTCAGTCTCCTTCCTCCTCTTAGCTGGCTTGGGCAGGGGGAGAGTAGCAGCAGGATTTCCTTCTCATCCTGAGGTGGCAGGCAGATGTAGTAAGCAACAGCCAGGAGACAGGTATTTTTAAAGACTCTTCCTCAGTCTCCTTCCTCCTCTTAGCTGGCTTGGGCAGGGGGAGAGTAGCAGCAGGATTTCCTTCTCATCCTGAGGTGGCAGGCAGATGTAGTAAGCAACAGCCAGGAGACAGGTATTTTTAAAGACTCTTCCTCAGTCCCCTTCCTCCTCTTAGCTGGTTTGGAGGTGGGGGAGGAGAAGCAGGATTTGCTCTTTCTCCTTCTGAGGTGGCAGGCAGATGTAGTAAGCAACAGCCAGGAGACAGGTGTTTTTAAAGTCTCTTCCTCAGTCCCCTTCCTCCTCTTAGCTGGCTTGGGCAGGGGGAGAGTAGCAGCAGGATTTCCTCCTTCTCCTTCTGAGGTGGCAGGCAGATGTAGTAACCAACAGCCAGGAGACAGGTTGTTTTAGTCTCTTCCTCAGATGCAGTAAGCAACAGCCAGGAGAGAGGTGTTTTTAAAGTCTCTTCCTCAGTCCCCTTCCTCCTCTTACCTGTCTTGGGAGGGGGAGAGTAGCAGCAGGACTTCCTCCTTCTCCTCCTGAGGTGGCAGGCAGATGTATTAAGCAACAGCCAGGAGACAGGTGTTTTTAAAGTCTCTTCCTCAGTCCCCTTCCTCCTCTTAGCTGTCTTGGGAGGGGGAGAGTAGCAGCAGGATTTCCTCCTTCTCCTCCTGAGGTGGCAGGCAGATGTAGTAAGCAACAGCCAGGAGACAGGTGTTTTTAAAGTCTCTTCCTCAGTCCCCTTCCTCCTCTTAGCTGGCTTGGGGGAAGGAGAGAGTAGCAGCAGGATTTCCTCCTTCTCCTGCTGAGGTAGCACATAGATATAGTAAGCAACAGCCAGGAGACAGGTGTTTTTAAAGTCTCTTCCTCAGTCCCCTTCCTCCTCTTAGCTGGCTTGGGAGGGGGAGAGAGTAGCAACAGGATTTCTTCCTTCTCCTCCTGAGGTGGCAGGCAGATGTAGTAAGCAACAGCCAGGAGACAGGTGTTTTTAAAGACTCTTCCTCAGTCTCCTTCCTCCTCTTAGCTGGCTTGGGCAGGGGGAGAGTAGCAGCAGGATTTCCTTCTCATCCTGAGGTGGCAGGCAGATGTAGTAAGCAACAGCCAGGAGACAGGTATTTTTAAAGACTCTTCCTCAGTCTCCTTCCTCCTCTTAGCTGGCTTGGGCAGGGGGAGAGTAGCAGCAGGATTTCCTTCTCATCCTGAGGTGGCAGGCAGATGTAGTAAGCAACAGCCAGGAGACAGGTATTTTTAAAGACTCTTCCTCAGTCCCCTTCCTCCTCTTAGCTGGTTTGGAGGTGGGGGAGGAGAAGCAGGATTTGCTCTTTCTCCTTCTGAGGTGGCAGGCAGATGTAGTAAGCAACAGCCAGGAGACAGGTGTTTTTAAAGTCTCTTCCTCAGTCCCCTTCCTCCTCTTAGCTGGCTTGGGCAGGGGGAGAGTAGCAGCAGGATTTCCTCCTTCTCCTTCTGAGGTGGCAGGCAGATGTAGTAACCAACAGCCAGGAGACAGGTTGTTTTAGTCTCTTCCTCAGATGCAGTAAGCAACAGCCAGGAGAGAGGTGTTTTTAAAGTCTCTTCCTCAGTCCCCTTCCTCCTCTTACCTGTCTTGGGAGGGGGAGAGTAGCAGCAGGACTTCCTCCTTCTCCTCCTGAGGTGGCAGGCAGATGTATTAAGCAACAGCCAGGAGACAGGTGTTTTTAAAGTCTCTTCCTCAGTCCCCTTCCTCCTCTTAGCTGTCTTGGGAGGGGGAGAGTAGCAGCAGGATTTCCTCCTTCTCCTCCTGAGGTGGCAGGCAGATGTAGTAAGCAACAGCCAGGAGACAGGTGTTTTTAAAGTCTCTTCCTCAGTCCCCTTCCTCCTCTTAGCTGGCTTGGGAGGGGGAGAGTAGCAGCAGGATTTCCTCCTTCTCCTCCTGAGGTGGCAGGCAGATGTAGTAAGCAACAGCCAGGAGACAGGTGTTTTTAAAGACTCTTCCTCAGTCTCCTTCCTCCTCTTAGCTGGCTTGGGCAGGGGGAGAGTAGCAGCAGGATTTCCTTCTCATCCTGAGGTGGCAGGCAGATGTAGTAAGCAACAGCCAGGAGACAGGTATTTTTAAAGACTCTTCCTCAGTCCCCTTCCTCCTCTTAGCTGGTTTGGAGGTGGGGGAGGAGAAGCAGGATTTGCTCTTTCTCCTTCTGAGGTGGCAGGCAGATGTAGTAAGCAACAGCCAGGAGACAGGTGTTTTTAAAGTCTCTTCCTCAGTCCCCTTCCTCCTCTTAGCTGGCTTGGGCAGGGGGAGAGTAGCAGCAGGATTTCCTCCTTCTCCTTCTGAGGTGGCAGGCAGATGTAGTAACCAACAGCCAGGAGACAGGTTGTTTTAGTCTCTTCCTCAGATGCAGTAAGCAACAGCCAGGAGAGAGGTGTTTTTAAAGTCTCTTCCTCAGTCCCCTTCCTCCTCTTACCTGTCTTGGGAGGGGGAGAGTAGCAGCAGGACTTCCTCCTTCTCCTCCTGAGGTGGCAGGCAGATGTATTAAGCAACAGCCAGGAGACAGGTGTTTTTAAAGTCTCTTCCTCAGTCCCCTTCCTCCTCTTAGCTGGCTTGGGAGGGGGAGAGTAGCAGCAGGATTTCCTCCTTCTCCTCCTGAGGTGGCAGGCAGATGTAGTAAGCAACAGCCAGGAGACAGGTGTTTTTAAAGACTCTTCCTCAGTCCCCTTCCTCCTCTTAGCTGTCTTAGGAGGGGGAGAATAGCAGTAGGATTTCATCCTTCTCCTCCTGAGGTGGCAGGCAGATGTAGTAAGTAGTAAGCAACAGCCAGGAGACAGGTGTTTTTAAAGTCTCTTCCTCAGTCCCCTTCCTCCTCTTAGCTGGCTTGGGAGGGGGAGAGTAGCAGCAGGATTTCCTCCTTCTCCCTGAGGTGGCAGGCAGATGTAGTAAGCAACAGCCAGGAGACAGGTGTTTTTAAAGACTCTTCCTCAGTCCCCTTCCTCCTCTTAGCTGGCTTGGGAGGGGGAGAGTAGCAACAGGATTTCCTCCTTCTCCTTCTGAGGTGGCAGGCAGATGTAGTAAGCAACAGCCAGGAGACAGGTGTTTTTAAAGACTCTTCCTCAGTCCCCTTCCTCCTCTTAGCTGGCTTGGGAGGGGGAGAGTAGCAGCAGGATTTCCTCCTTCTCCTTCTGAGGTGGCAGGCAGATGTAGTAAGCAACAGCCAGGAGACAGGTGTTTTTAAAGTATCTTCCTCAGTCCCCTTCCTCCTCTTAGCTGGCTTGGGCAGGGGGAGAGTAGCAGCAGGATTTCCTTCTCATCCTGAGGTGGCAGGCAGATGTAGTAAGCAACAGCCAGGAGACAGGTATTTTTAAAGACTCTTCCTCAGTCCCCTTCCTCCTCTTAGCTGGCTTGGGAGGGGGAGAGTAGCAACAGGATTTCCTCCTTCTCCTGAGGTGGCAGGCAGATGTAGTAAGCAACAGCCAGGAGACAGGTGTTTTTAAAGACTCTTCCTCAGTCTCCTTCCTCCTCTTAGCTGGCTTGGGCAGGGGGAGAGTAGCAGCAGGATTTCCTTCTCATCCTGAGGTGGCAGGCAGATGTAGTAAGCAACAGCCAGGAGACAGGTTTTTAAAGACTCTTCCTCAGTCCCCTTCCTCCTCTTAGCTGGCTTGGGAGGGGGAGAGTAGCAACAGGATTTCCTCCTTCTCCTTCTGAGGTGGCAGGCAGATGTAGTAAGCAACAGCCAGGAGACAGGTGTTTTAAAGTCTCTTCCTCAGTCCCCTTCCTCCTCTTAGCTGGCTTGGGAGGGGAGAGTAGCAGCAGGATTTCCTCCTTCTCCTCCTGAGGTGGCAGGCAGATGTAGTAAGCAACAGCCAGGAGACAGGTGTTTTTAAAGTCTCTTCCTCAGTCCCCTTCCTCCTCTTAGCTGGCTTGGAGGGGGAGAGTAGCAGCAGGATTTCCTCCTTCTCCTCCTGAGGTGGCAGGCAGATGTAGTAAGCAACAGCCAGGAGACAGGTGTTTTTAAAGTCTCTTCCTCAGTCCCCTTCCTCCTCTTAGCTGGCTTGGGGGAAGGAGAGAGTAGCAGCAGGATTTCCTCCTTCTCCTGCTGAGGTAGCACATAGATATAGTAAGCAACAGCCAGGAGACAGGTGTTTTTAAAGTCTCTTCCTCAGTCCCCTTCCTCCTCTTAGCTGGCTTGGGTGGGGGGAGAGTAGCAGCAGGATTTCCTCCTCCTTCTTCTGAGGTGGCAGGCAGATGTAGTGACCTGCCTCAAGACAGGACCTAGATCAAAGGGCCGGGGCCTCACTAAAGTGGCAGGTGGAACCCCCCCCCCCACACACACACTTTCACTGGCTCCTTCCCTTCCTTCCAGGACTACGGCTACGTCCAGAGCACGGCCCCCGAGGTGCTGCGGAACTTCCTGCAAGTGGAGCCGGTCCTGGGCCCACGCTTCAGCCTCCTGGACCTCAGCTCCGTGGGGCTGGTGAGTATGGGGCGCCCACTGGTGGAGGGGGGTGGGTGGGAGAGCCCATTGCAGCCTTCCTTGGCTTGTTCTCTGGCCGCAGGAAAGGACTCGAGGGGTCCAGGTGAAAGCTGCCGGCTCTGGGGAAACAGCGCACAGGAGAATGCCTCCCTTTTTCTGTCACTTCCAGACCCATTCACTGGGGACAAAACGATCTTGACAGATTAGAGAGATGGGCCAAAACTAACAAAATGAAGTTCAACAGTGACAAATGCAAGATACTCCACTTTGGCAGAAAAAATGAAATGCAAAGATACAGAATGGGGGACAATGCCTGGCTCGAGAGCAGTACGTGTGAAAAAGATCTTGGAGTCCTCGTGGACAACAAGTTAAACATGAGCCAACAATGTGATGTGGCGGCAAAAAAAGCCAATGGGATTTTGGCCTGCATCAATAGGAGCATAGTGTCTAGATCTAGGGAAGCCACCCCTCTATTCTCTTTGGTTAGACCACACCTGGAATATTGTGTCCAATTCTGGGCACCACAATTGAAGAGAGATATTGACAAGCTGGAATGTGTCCAGAGGAGGGCGACTAAATTGATCAAGGGTCTGGAGAACAAGCCCTATGAGGAGCGGCTTAAGGAGCTGGGCATGTTTAGCCTGAAGAAGAGAAGGCTGAGAGGAGATATGATAGCCATGTATAAATATGTGAGAGGAAGCCACAGGAGGAGGGAGCAAGCTTCCTTTCTGCTTCCCTGGAGACTAGGACGCAATGGAATTATAAGTTGCTTACCTGTAACTGTAGTTTCCTGAGTAGTCACCTGTGAATTCGTACATTTGGTATCTGAGCGCATGCGCAGTACAGCTTTCGGAACCTTCTAGATAAAAATATAACAATTTTAGAGCCCACTAGCCCCGCCCCCCCTCCCCTCGAGTATAAGTAGCCCGAGGGCGGGGCTAGCCAGCAGTTCTCTTCCGCCGCAAAGCAGCCAGAAGGTGTGGCATGACCCGAGGGGAGGACGGGCGGGTATGTACGAATTCACAGGTGACTACTCAGGAAACTACAGTTACAGGTAAGCAACTTATAATTTCCTGTCGTAGTCACTGTGAATCGTACATTTGGTAGAATAGCGAGCAAACTAACCATGGACGGTGGGCGTCATGCCACAGCCGAAAACAAAACCGCTCTGCCAAACTGAGCCTCACGCCTGGATACAACATCCAACTTATAGTGGGTCACAAACGATAGAGGTGTGGACCAGATCGCCGCGCGACAAATAGTGTCCAAGGGAACTCCCCTCCAGAACGCGGCCGACGTGGCTACTGCCCTCGTGGAGTGGCCTCTCACCGGCAAGGGCAAGTCCTTACCCGCCATGCGGTAGCACAAGCGGATCGTGGATACTATCCAGGATGAAAGTCTCTGGGGCGACACTGGAAGACCCAACACATCCGCCCGATACTTTATAAACAACTTAGGGGTTTTTCTCAGCGCGGCCGTCCTGTCCACATAAAAAGCCAGAGCCCTGCGAACATCTAACAAATGCAAACCCTTTTCTAACTGGGTAGTAGGGCTCTGAAAAAACGAAGGAAGAATCAAATCCTGAGAAATATGGAACTGAGTTGAGACCTTAGGGAGGAAGGAGATGTCTGTCCGCAGCACCACTTTATCTTTATGAAACTTAAGGTAAGGCGGGTCAACCCTAAGGGCACAGAGTTCACTAGACCGGCGAGCCGATGTAATGGCTACTAAAAAGGCCGTCTTCCATGATAAGCAGGAGAGGCTTATTGATGCCAGAGGTTCGAACGGGGCTCTCGTCAACGAATTTAGAACAAGTTCCAAACTCCAAGAAGGGGCTATCGGGGACACCGGAGGTCTAGTATTCTTAAGCCCTCTTAAAAACGACTTAACAACAGGGTCCAAAAAACAGGAAGGAAGGCCCACTTTTTGCCTAAACCAGGAAATGGAGGCCAGATAACACTTCAACGATGGGAACGACAGGCCCGCGTCCAACAGTGACGCTAAGAAGTCCAACACTATAGAGATGGGGGCCGAGTCAGGGAGCACCCCTCTCTGTCTAGCAAAAGAGGAAAAACGCGCCCACTTGTAGACATAAGAGCGCCTTGTTGATGGTCTATGCGCCGCTTCAATAATCTGGAGCACTGGGTGCGATAAACCCAACAGGGGGTCTATGGTGTTGGTAAGATCCGCCAAGCCGTCAGCCTCAGTTTGTGTACCTCTGGGTACAACACTTGGCCGCCCTGCGATGTGAGTAGATCCGTCCTGGGCGGGAGAGGGATGAAGACTCCTCTCGCTAGTAGTCGCAGGGGCGAGAACCACGGCTGCCTCGGCCACCACGGCGTTACTAGAATACACTGGGCATTGTCTCTTTGGATCTTGGCAACCACCCGCAACAGCAGAGGGAAGGGAGGAAAGGCGTAGGATCTCCGACCCGTCCATACCAACGTGAACGCGTCTCCCAGACATCTGCCCCGGGTCACGGCTCGCGTCCGTGCACAATAGAGGTGGCATTTTGAATTGAACCGTGTGGCGAACAGGTCGAGATCTGGTGTGCCCCACGCTAGAAAGAGTCTCCGAACCTCCTCCAGATTCAGAGACCATTCGTGAGTCGCCAGAGGATTTCGACTCAGGGAGTCCGCCAACAAGTTCTGCTCTCCTGGTACGTGCGTAGCAAGGAGATGGATCCCCCTGGCTATGCACCATTCCCAAATTTTGGTCGTAAGGTCCAGGAGTGTCCGCGAACGGGTGCCGCCCTGTTTGTTCAGGTAGTACATTACCGTGGTGTTGTCGGTAAGAATGTGTACTACCTGACCCGCGACGACCCTTTCGAAGGATCTCAATGCTCTGTCTACGGCCAGCATTTCGAGCGCGTTTATGTGAAGAGCGCTTTCCTCTTCTGACCACGTCCCGTGAGCCACTAGGCCGCCCGTGTGCGCCCCCCACCCCGTAAGGGATGAGTCTGTAGTGACCATCCTTGTGGCGCGAGGGGCGTAAAAGGAAAGTCCCTCGCAGGCCCAGGCTGGATCCATCCAGCACCGTAGGGAGGCTCGGACCTCCTGAGGAGGAAACAAACGCATGGCGGGATTGTCCCACAGCGGATTGAAGTTGGAGAGGAACCACGATTGAAGTGGCCGCATCCGAAGTCTGGCGTGGCGGATAACCGACGTGGTGGAAGCCATGTGCCCCAGGATGACCTGGATGTGTCTGGCTGATGTGCTGGGAGAGGCAGTGAGATGACTGAGAAGGTCTCGCAGGTTGTCGAACCGGTCCTCGGGAAGAAAAACCCTCTCGGCAATCGAATCCAGGAGCGCCCCGATGAACTGGATGCGCTGCGATGGTATCAGGACCGACTTCTCCCGGTTGAGTACGAGGCCCAGTGACTGGAGAAGAGACAAAACCGTGGACACGTGATGTTGTAACAAACCACGAGACCTAGCCACTATCAGCCAGTCATCAATGTATGGGTACACGGACACGCCCCTCACCCTCAGGTGTGCGGCCACTACCGCCATACACTTTGTGAACACCCGTGGGGCCGCTGAAAGGCCAAAAGGTAGGACATTAAAACAGTATACTTGACCATTGACCCTAAAGGAGAGAAACCTCCTATGATGTGGGGCAATGGAGATGTGGAAGTATGCGTCTCGAAGGTCGACGGTCGCGAACCAGGCCCCCCGGAAGAGCAGGGGGACTATGGAAGCAAGAGTCACCATACGAAATCTCTTGGGCTTAACGTGTTTATTGAGAGCCCTAAGGTCAAGAATCGGACGCATTCCACCACCACGTTTAACAATTAGAAAATATCTAGAAAAGAAACAGAACGGCAATGCAGATGGGTCGACCAGCGAAATGGCCCCCTTTTGTAACAACATTGTAATCTCCTCCATAATCTGCGGGGAGAAGGGCGTGTCCCGAACCAAGCCCACCCTGGGGATGTCTTCAAACTCAATGTTATAACCATTTGCAACAATAGACAAAACCCAGGCATCCGTAGTTATGCTTGCCCACTCATCGTAGAAAGGAGCGAGTCTGTCCTTGAACAAGAAATGGGGCCCAACGGGGCTGTCACAACTTAAGGAAAGAGAATCTAGCAAGGGAGGGATAACAACTCGGGTCTCCCGAGGCAAGTCAGAAGGGCATTCGGTTACATCCTGCCCGTTATCCACCATAGGGACGTCAAAGGCGCTTCTTGGAGGCGCCAGTAGACTTGGATTTCCCCTGGAAGGGTTGAGCTCTGGTCTTTTGGAAATAAGGGGTTCGACGACCTCCCTGGAACCTCGAGGAGCCCGCCCAGCGACTTCTGAAAGGCCCCGAGGAGGAGTTGTTAAATGGCCTTCGGTAAGAGGAGGTAGGATTTTGCCATCTTGGCTTTTGTTGGCCATATGGTTGCCAAGTATAGCCGAATTTAGAGGCCGATTGTCTCACATCTTGTTTTTGTTTCAAATTGTCGTCCGTATTGGGGTTGAATAAGCCCTCCTCGTGGAAAGGGAGTTCCTCAGCCAAGGCCTTCCCCTCTTCTGAAAGATTAGCAGCCCGCAGCCAGGCGTGCCTGCGAATGGAGGTGGCTGTGGCGAACAGATTCCCAGCTGTCTCCGCCATATGTTTGGCGAAGTCCTTCTGCAGTTTTGACAACGCCAGGGCTTCCCCTTGTAGTGCTTTGGCAAGGCGCTGTTCCTCCCCGGGCATGGATTCAATATACAACAACATCCGGTTCCATAAAAAGGATTGGTAACCGCTCATATATGTTGCATAATGAGCCATGCGTGTGTATAAACTGGCAGAAAGATAAGCCTTTTTACCCAAGGTGTCCAATTTTCTGCCTTCTCTATCGGGAGGGGTGGTCACTGAGCCCTTGGGACGTTTAGATTTAGTGACTTCCGCCACCACTGTGTTCGCCTTGGGAGGAGCTATCACCCACTTGGCCGTGGCCATATCAATCTTGTATAACGTGTCCAACCGTCTAGGGACCGCCGGTACCGCCCCAGGTGACATGTCAGCCACCTTAGCTAACTTCAGTAGATAAGGTAAAAGTGGGAGAGCAGAGGAGGGGATCGTATGTTGCTCATCCGACGGAAACATCGGATCCTCCACGTGTTCAGGCTGCTTTGGGGCAGGTATATTCAGAGCCCTGATCATACGCTCCACCAAAGCAGCAAACTTGTGAAAATCAGCAGGCATAGCATAAGAAGCATCCTCACCCCCTGGAGCCCGGGACGGATCAGGAGGCTCTGAGCCAGAGTCACTGTCTCTTGGGTCCATAATTTCCTGGTCAATGTCCATAACAGTTGCTCTCATTGGGGTGGCCACGGTTGGGTCAGGTTCAGTTAGAGGGGCTGGGTCCACAGTCACAGGCACCAACCCAGCCGGGGAAACATGCACTGCAGGGTTCATTGGAGTCGCAGCGCCCCCCTGCGCCTCTTGGCGATACACCTGGATACCGGACGGTGGTTGGCCCGCCCCTGCATCTAGGCGGGACAGCTGATTGTCCCCTGCAGMMAAGTTTCCTTCAGCAGGGGTCAGGGAGGGGCGTGCTGGRACCCCYTGCACGGTGGAGCCCCCCAGAGGGGCCGATGCTCTGTGCCCCGAGACACCTCCAAGCTCTCGCAGAGGGAGGGGAGGAGGAGGCCCCGCCGGTACCGAGAAAGGGATCGGGGCAGGCACAAAGACGAGCTGGCCAGAAGGAGTCATCTGCCAATAGCCCTGCGGGGTCGCAGGCCTGGGGCTGCGGCCAGCTGGGTGAGATGATGGGGCTCTGGAGCGGCGGGCGTGTCTCCGGCGTCTGGAGCATGAGGAGGAGGACGAGGAGGAGGTCGAGGATGAGGAAGAGCAGGAGGAAGACCTTGAATGCCGGCTCGACCTCGTAGAGGATCTGTGCCCCCGGTGCCGAGAGCTCCTGCTCCTTCGGGAGGGGCATCTAGAGCGCCTCGGCCGCTTGCTAGGCCTGCGAGACCCTCTGTCCTCCCTCCGTTGGCTGCGATAAAGGACCGCCGCCGGTGCCGCTCCCGGCATCGGAGGGCCATCAGAGGAGTTTTGCAGTCCCTCTGCCTGGAAGGCGCTCGACATCTGCGGTCTCGGAGAGCCCGCCTGTYCTTCTAGGCTGGCGGTACCGAAGGGAGGCGTTGCCGAAACGGCAGGCGGAGAGGCTCTTCTAGCGGCCGCCTCTGTCAGCTCAGTAGGGGGGGCGTTGAAGATGCCCCCGAACGCGCCGCTGGTGGACGGCGCCGACTCCAAAGGAGGAGAGGTGGGAGGAGCCACRGAGACTGGTCTCCCATCCCTGTGCGCAGCCTCCCCGCTGGCTCCGCCCCCGGAGGGAGAGAGCGTCGGYATCTGAGGGGTCGAGAAGGCCTCCGAGACCGGGCCCTCCGGTCTCGAGTTCTGCGGTCTGAGGGGAGTCACGTCCACCTCGAGGGACAAGGTAGGTGCTCTGGGAGGGAGGCTCGAGTGACCCGGTTGGCCCATCATGGAGGGGGGGGCTTGAGCAGCAAGGGACGAAGATGCGCTTCCCGCCCT